CGAAAACTTATTTCATAAGCTTTTATTATATGTATCATTGCGAGTTCATAGCTTTGAAATAGAAAAAATACTTTAAACATATTTCGAAAATTGTTGTACCTTCAACGTATGCTTCATTAACACATGTGCAAACGAAATTATCCCTTACAGATTGTTGACTCCGCTTGAACCAAATTTATAGCGACATCTTAGCTTTTAATGTCCACTTTTCTTTTTTACGAGGCGTTCGTGCGAGCTCTTACTTTTAAATGTTGCGACTTATCAAACGTGACGCAATTGTGTGAAGGTAAAACGCTACAGTACAATGACCTTATTAAAATGTGTAATTATTGTTAGAGTTTTAATTCTTCTCTCTCTGATCTTCTCTTTTGTAACTTACAGCTATACTCAGTTGTTCATAAAAGTAAACGATTACTTAAGATTGAAATAAATTCACTTTAAACAATCACTTTCACTGCATAAATAAACTTACTATTAAAATCAATATTTTTATTAATTATAATAGTTTGAGTATGGCTATATCGTGTTGTTTGTATGTATATCTTGAAATGTATTCGTATAAAAATAAAGTTCCATACTTTGCCCTTATAATATTTTTTTTACATTTCTGTATCATTGTATTTTAAATTAAGTTTAATTTATTGTATTTTAAATTAATTAAGCCAAGTAATGGATATTAAATTTTACCTTATGCGGTAATGTAATTAAGTTAATACCAACCATAATTTTAAATAAATGAATTTCATAAGTTATATAAGTATTGCCCTTTATTGCTGTTTTTTAATTAGCATAAATAGGTTTTGACTTGATTGAATTTGACATTTGCGAATTTGGAATCCTGGTATTCGAATTCTAAAATATATTGAAGTAATCTGTGAAATAATGGGTCTGCCTACTAAAAATAAATTAGAAATGTACATTAAATGTTTATTACTACACATAAATTACATTCAGATGCTGGCTAATGTACAATGTACTACAAACTAAAAATGCTTCCTTAACTATTATTACAAAAATATACGATTCTAACTTATATTAAAGAGACCAAACACGTTGTCAAATTAGATTAAGCCTACTGCGATTGGAAACTACGAAGGTAAAAAGTATATAAAAATATGTTACACATAATATACAGTATCCGAGTGCTCGCTAGATTAATTACACTGTGGACCTACTGTTATGTTCTGTGGTGAAATAAATAAATATCAATTACAATGAGTTTTATTTTAAACCGTTTGTTAAATAAGTCGGTGGGTTCGCAAATCCTACTATTAAAGCCGCTCATTCGTACACAATCTCAGTTTGAAGATCTCAATCGTGATGTTATTCGGTAATAATTAGTGGGGCATAGCTAGTGAGAAATATATTATGAACAGAGAAGAAATCAAACAGGAGTTAGCATTTATACAAGTTGGAAACATTTCCAACTGCTCACTAGATGGCGTTATTTGAAATATTTCAGATATGGGGTTGAACTGACAAAAGAAACAAAAAATTTACGTTAGAATAGTATTTTTCAGTTTTATTACCAATATCACATGGACGCGTGAACATCAGGCATTTATAGAGGTAGTTGTTTTCTGTAACATTCTTGGCGCGAAAATTATTAAGACCAAATAATTTGAATTACAATCCCAAATTAAAATCTTTACATTTTCAAGTTAACACGTATTTGGAATCAAAGAGAATAGATTTTGACAATCCAAAATGTTTAAAAGCTTACATCGATTTATAATCCATAGAAATTAGATCAAGTGATCCTAAAATAAGTCGTTAAAATATTACTCTTAGAAACATTACTCACACTAGCAACAATTTTCTAATACCTTACGGGCCGCACAATACGCCGTCACCATGGACGTTATGAAACGAATAACATACGAAACTACAGATATTTACAAGGCCAATAAATATTAACGTTAATTTTTGAAAAATTCAGTATACCAATGCAACGTTAGTTTAACGCCATCTATGGGTAAAGAATTGCACTATTAAACGCTTCTCCAAAACGTTGCTTTAGTAATGATATTTAAAATAATTTACATGTAAAATCCGGTTGAAATAGTAATTTTCAGATAAGTCGAACCCTCTTATCTCTACTTAAACTAAGGTGCAGTATCTTATACTATAATCTCCCTAAGCACAGTCAGTTCCAATTCATCTACAAAAGTACAAATAAATAACTAGCCATATCTAACTGTAGAGGGATGAACAAATAGAGTTATTCATTGAATCTGTTAAGTAAAAGCAAATGTGTTGTCTGTAGACTGTATAATTATTTCTCTCCACTCTATTGGTTCTTCCCCTCTTTAAACACTATTGATGAATATATAAAGACCCCTGCAGATAAGCGCATATACATTTTTCACGAGGCGGGAAATACCAATTCATACATAATGCCAAAATTTATGATCACAAGGATTTTTACATCGAAAGGCGCCATCTTATAGAACATACAAACATCGTTCAAGTATTTCGGTAGACGAAAAATGCGCAAATATGAACAAGTTATTGATTTGAAGTTCTAAATGTTTAGAAAGCACAGATTACTAAATTCAATGTTCTATGCTCAGTACACTATTCTTTTGACATGACACTTGACAGTTGTCAAAAGAAATAACTCTTTGGCAGTTGGCAGTCGATTCTACATCAAATTGAACATAAAAATCGATTTATATATTAGTTTTATATAGTTATTAATATATAGAGTAGTAACGTTGCACAGTTCTCAAAATGCTCGCATGTTTTAAATATCAACTATCTTATAACCATTTATTTAATCTATTGAACAACGAAAACGGTTTTTTTCAATTTAGTTTCTCCGGAGTAGCAAAAACTATCTTTTTGTAAGTTAGTGTTATGATAGCAGCGTAACGCCAAAACATAATAATAATACAGAAATGCGCAATTATTTGTGTAATAGATTTTCCGCCACTGTTCGTTGATTTTTGCGCATCGTTATGTCCGAAGACCCGATCCCCCATACATATTGCGTCACTATATCACCGTTCATCACACGTGATCATAAAATGAATGAATTTCTTATATAATCACGATTATGGAATATATAATTCCATACCAAAACTGTCCGTGACCCTAAGGACCTCTAAGATGCGGTCATGTAGATTATTGCATAACCTACCATCAGATACCTGTCCTTTGACGATAAAGTACCTTTATCCAATTCCAGAGCTATAAAATATCGTTATGACCATACATTTTGAAGCTTTAACGATTAAAGAACAAAAATTTTATACACTTAATGAAAATAAAAATCACGTTCGAATTAAAATAATATTCACAGGAATTTTAACCTAACGAATTTCGCGTTACGTGTTATATCGCCAATAATCACAATCTAAGTAGGAACATTATCTCCAGGAATATTGATTGTCGAGGACGCATCACATCCAAATTGCGACTTTATACCATTGTGTTAAGGTTGATTTTAGAATTTTCGTTAGAATTACCCACGAGGGTTACACAGTTCAAGGAAAAAAAATATTTAAATTACTTTCTTACAATGTTTCGGCTGTCATTATTTTATATTAGAAAATATATTATTGTCCCTTATGTTATACCCAGTACAAAAACAATGTTCAAAATTCCATCGTTTACAGAAGTTTAGCAACAAACGAAATGATCAGAATTAATAGTAAAATGACATTGCTATTACTCGATTTTGTTTAAAAAAATTTTGTCTATTTAATTGTATTCAAATGAAACATATTGTTTGTTTTGTGAATTAAGAGTATCATATACCATGTTAATTATGAAGAAAAAAACCCAATTACCAAACCCTTAATTAACTTTGATCGAATATAAAATGCAACCAGAAACCCTTTAATACTGTTCTCGGTTTTAGATAATTGTGACCAACTATAAAAATGAAATACAGTTTCTATAGATGGCGCTATAAACGACATCGTCAGTCACCCGTGACGAACAGATGTAAAACCTAAAACACCGTTAGTCACGCGTGGTTAAACGCAAAATGGATAATTCAAAATTGTTTGATGGGAACTGTACTTCATTGTGAATATTTACAACTTATATTTAATTTTACAAATATGTAGCTCAACTATGAGTTTGACAAAAGGCTGACAAATTTAAAAAATGAGCTTGTCCTGGGGTCGTGCGTTCGATTCATGACTGTGCAATGGATCCCGCGAAGGCGAAGGAAAACTTCGGAGGACTTCGGAATGTCAAAACGTTTTTTGACATATCTAGTATGTACTGTGTATTATACCAATGGACTCCAAAATCGTTTGTTAGGCATAGGCGAATTGCGTATTTGCCCATAAGAAAAGTAAAAACAACACGGAAATCTAAGGGTTGACCGAGGGTTGTAACCCCACAGATATCCAACCAATATTTCATGCAAGCGTTTATATTGCCAAACTCATGGTTCAGTCTAAACTATGTCTAACTAAATGTAAAATCTTTCAATACGAAGAAATGGTTATATTTTCACCGCGTGGACCGCATTTCAAAACACAAAAATCTAATTAAACTGTTCAAATATCCATACCAGACATATTTGTGTATCCTTTAATAATATGTGTTCGCCCTGAGTCTACTAGGATATTAGACATTAGTTTAAATCCATATTTAATTAGATTTTTGAGTATATTATATAGACATTTTTGGAAGATTATTTCGGGAGAAAACCAACAGCACTGAACAAATGATTCATACTCGCATTTATAAATTTTGCTTGCTTTTTATAAATTTGCAGCTTTTACGAATTAAACGGAAGTCATCCGTGACCGACAAATCACGAGATGTAAATTTTTAATCCGAAAAACCGGCAAGGAGCATAACTGACGTCAGAAGAAATATTAAAAGTTTGACGTTTGAATTGTAAGTTGACCAAATTAATAAAAAACGACTACGACAGTTACACACTACAATTCACTAACACACAAAATTAAAGCATAATACAAAACGAGTTTGTTCCTAAACACATTATTATTACAGTTTAAATAAGCGTATATGTGTTATGAGGGCGCGGACGACGGCTCCATACTTACGGCAACTTGCATCTGAAATTATTTATATTTATTCATAAAATACAGTTTCAATAAAATAACAGCCGACAACACAACGTCCGGGGGTAATAAGCCTTTGCGAATGGACTTAAAACGAATGTAACGAATTTGGGGGACAGTTACAGGGAAGGGGGGAGGGGGTCGAACTACGCGTAACGCAACATTGTTTTGAATAATATAAATAAACTAGTAGACTCGGCCAAGCGTTGCTCTGGCTAAGATTTTTGTTATATTACATAGTAGTAAACTATTCAAGGGAAACGGTAGGAGAACTTATGTGAAAGGTAGATGACAGCTTAAGTGAAACGTTGATAATTTTAACACAGCGCCATCTGTTAGAATTGTATCAAATAATAAACAAATATTTTGCAATAAATTAAAATTGCGACTATAATTTGAGATTTAAACTGTCCTATCTCTCAAGTTGGATCGAACTGCACATGGTGTGCAAATTTGATTGATATCGGTTCGGTAGTTTAGGTGTCCATTGAGGCAAACATTGTGACACGAGATTTATATATATTAAGATAATATTAACGCGATTAAAACAATAAAGCTATTTCAACGACTTTTCGTTACGCCATATTGGGACTTTTAGGTAAAAATGGTTACGTTACGTTTTACTAGGGGGGTGGGGGAGTTACAGACAAACGTTACAGCGCTTTCATAGAACTTTTTTATAGAAAAAGAGGCAACGAACATGCAGGAGGCTCTCCTGATGTTAAGTGATACCGCCGCCCATGGACATTCCAATGCAAGAGGGCTTGCGAGTGCGTTGCCGGGCTTTTATGAATTGATACACACTTTTTTTGAAGGACCCAAAGTCGATTTGGTACGGAAATACTTGAGTGGGCAGCTGGCAACACAATGTGGTGGTTCGCGGCAAAAACTGCCTTTGGACGGTTTGACGTCGAGACTTAAAATAACATACTATGATTGAATAATGACATGATGGTGTATTTTATTTAAATAAAATTAAAATAAATTCACTATTCTTTTATACTCCGATCTTTCCGTAGAATTCTGACATTTCAGTGTGTCATTTCAAAAGTTCTCCACCGAAAAAGGGACAAATTTGACTTATTTGAGGGCAATAAAAAAATGGTACGTATTTTTTATGTTTTACCTACAAAAAGGTAAATCTAAATATTTTCTTACTCAAGTGACTTAATACAAAAATAACAAATATTTCAATATCACGAACAATATATCGAATTAAGTTTGATTACTTTATTTTATTCTTTAGCTGGCATCACTGCCTACTAATTCCAGGTTTAGTAAACCTTTTTAATAAAAGAAAATGTTATCTTAACTTGTGCGTTTTTTATTGTTTGTGATGAAACGGGATGTAATTATCACTCGCTGTTAAACTACTTTTAATTTGAAGCAACGCACTTAATAAAATGAATACATTCACTAACAAATACAATGTATGTAGAGATGTTCAGAATCGTATTAAAATTGAAAAATTTGCCCGGCCTAAAAGGTTTGCCATCTCTGACATGTCAAAAAATGATAGCTGTCAGAATTCTACGGAATTAAAGATAAAAATTCGACAGCGTGTGTCAGGCACAGATGGCTGATCCTTACGGACTTTTTTTAATTACCTTATTAGCAGGTACAGGCGAATTCGTAAACACGTCGGTCATATCGAGCGCACGCTCGTCCAACACGGCCTCCAATGCGGCCGCTAGTTCGCAGCTTTCCGCGAACGTACCCCCCTCCGCTATAAATTAAATACTGATTTATACGAATAATTGGCTATTTGACAAGATTTTAAAAACATTTTCTGATTATTTATTATTGTCTACAGAATCTATACAAATTGTAATTCAAATTAAACATTCATAATTTTATATTTCTCTCGGCAAGATGGCGACGCCATTGTGCTTATGGTCGTAAACAAACGTCAAGTTTATTTTTAGACTGAATATGTATCGAATTCGAAATTATATACGAATTCTACTAACGTAGCGTTTTATTATTGTTACTAGCAAATTAATTGTATTGTCTGGTAGTTTTTATTATTAGATATAGGTGGTAAAATGGAGATTTTTTAGGTAATTAATTGTTCGGACTTTTATCGACATCTTTGAATTAGATCTTTGATTTAATGTTTTCTTTTTTATTTATTCTTATCTTTAAAATTATTTTAATACTATCTCTAGCATACATTTAAACAACAGGCAAATTAAATTGCGTATAGAAATTTAGTCCACGTTTTATAAAGCAGTAAAGTTTTAAACAAATGGTTTAATATAATAAACAGTTTATGTCACTATGACACGGCGAACTTTGTTTGTAACACAACAATGATTTGCTAAACTTTATTTATGATTTTATTACTACAGTGTAAAGAAATAAATAAGTTCACTTATTTATTAATATTAAAAGACAGGACAAGACAAATTGTTGAATATAGATTTATTTTAATTTATTTAATATCGACGGGACGAAAATTACATTTTTGAATTACATTTGTATTGATGTTTTTCTTTTAAAAATAAAATATTTGTAAATATTCCAATGCTTTTAATTTTCTGCTAATCTGGACGGAGACAAATAAAACGGTCCAGCCTTTCTCGAGTTATAAGTGTTCGAACGACGCCCGACTTTGTTTTATATAAAATTACCTTGATTAAAAAACTCCGTGAAAGCTTCGTCCGGCATCTGGCTCAAGACGCTCGGGTCCAAAATGTCATCTGGGGGCACTTGACCGACTTCTTTGAAATAAGAGAGAACAGTAAAGAATGGTTAATGATAAATCATTAATTACATTATGTCAAAAACTACATTAAGTCACGAAAGTCTCGACTACTGTCAAATGATACGACCCTTCTTTTAATTATGTAACTTCTGAAATATGTTTGTCGAAGGCTTGAAAAATGGAAAGAAAATATAAGGGTGAGGTCAGAAATTCATACTTAATATCGAGTTCATTTTAAATGTGTAAAATCACACATTAGTACCACCAATATTGATTTGCAGGCATAGAAGACTGATCTCCCTTATTTATAGAACAGGGGGCAAACGGGCACGAGGCTCGTCTGATGTTAAGTGATATCACCACCCATGGACACTGGCAGAAAGCGTACGTTGCCGACTTTTTAAGAACGCTTTTTTTCTAGAAAGACTCTAAGTCGAATTGGTTCAAAATGCCTTAAAACTAGCTTATTAAGATAACTATAATCATAAAAACTGACACGCGAACGTAAGGCCAACACAAAGTGAGCCAGTTTTTTTTTTAATTTGATGCGTAAAGTATACATCTAGAAAAAAAAAAATTCTAACATCCGTGTTTCGCTTGGTTGACTGACCAAGTTTTTTATGTCTACCCACATTTTTGGTGCTGTTCTGTTTTCTTATTTTATATATGTACCTACATCTGTGCGCTCTAATTTTTAATCTTAGTTTTAAATATGTGTTTCTCAGTAAGTGAATTTTCAATTCTTATGAGAAATAAAGTTATTCTTAAACCTAAAAAAGTATTAAAATTGAGGTGTAATTGAGGAAGCAATTTGTTTTGAGCAACAAAAATATTTTTTTTTATTATTTTATTAATAAATTCTTAAAAGATAATACTCGTTATTTTAGTTACTCTACTTCTTTTACAAATACTGACGCTATTACTCGTAGATAGTCGACCCTGAAGTCGTAGATTCGATCCCCGGCTGTGCACTGGGACTTTGTCTATGTAACGTGTTCTAAGTTTTTTTAAACTTGTCTAAATACTTAGACTACGTTGTTTTAAATAATTTTTAAACATACCTAGTTCAGTTGCAGTTCCACCAATATATTCGCTCTCACTCAGCCCACCAATCCCGGTGTCCTCGCTGTCATAAGCCGACGAATTTGAGTAGGCATTAATTTCTGTAAACAAAAAAGTTACAATTAGATTTGTTCATATAAAACAGAACAAAAAACTACGGGTTGCACTCCGGGAGTGCCGGCAGAAGTGAAGACTTGAATATTAACGTTGTGCATTTTTGATATTTTGGAATGGTTAGGGAATAATTTTGCACGAATTTCTTTATTTATCAGTATAAAAGTAGTATCATTTATGTATTTAAGAATAAAATATTTTTTATTGCGCTATCGTACACAAATATGACAATTTATATTACATTAAATTATTTAATACGCCGCGCCAGCTGTCTACTCTCCATCCGTCTTACGAATTTTCGATAAGGTCACGTGTCCTGACGCGAGTTTAACATTTTTTTACCCATTCCAAAAAAGTGTACAACGCCGCTAAAGAAGTTTTCACTTCAACAAAAAAAGTAATACCTGACAAAGACTGCGTATGTACGGGCGGTCTTTTGGCGACCAGTCGACGTCTCCGCTTGGGTTTGCGCGGCGGTCGCGGCGGACGCACAGCACTGCCCATGGGACACGCACGCTTGCGGCTCTTTTGGGGCTTCTCGCGACTGAGGAGCTCGTAATTATCCTGAATAAAAAGTTTATATTTTTTAATATTAACTTTATTTTTATATACAGTAAATTCAATTTCAAATTCAAAAATCATTTATTCATATAGGTAACACAATGTACACTAATTATGAACGTCAAAAAAATAAATATACATTAAATGCTGCTAATTTTACATTTAGTGCCAGTTCTCAAATCAAGGGCGTAGAACGGAAGAGAAGAGCTGGCAATAAACTCTCCGCCACTCTTTTTAATCGCCAAGTTTCTTGTTTTACACTAAGTTTGTAAGAAGCTGCAACCATTACAACATGTTCCACATGGCACCTTAGGTAATAAATAATAATAAAATAAATTAAAAACAAAGATTTGTCCTCTATCAGCAGTAGGCATGGAGAAATAGGAGCACGCACTTACATTCTCGTGGGAACAACACGCAAACACATAGTCGAAATAACCAACATCACCGCATACACGAATCAAGTACGACCAGTCACCACAAGTAGCACCCGTTCACGATCATGACGCATGGCCAGGCTTAAGTAACACTAAGTTGTGGAACGACGGACGTCAGGTGATACGGGCGGACTTTAATTTCAAACGTAAATCTGCTTACGTAATACTTGAACGGCCCCAAGCGCTTACATTACTTATTTTTACTCACCCTCTTCCAAGCATGTTCCGGACACAAAGGCGTCTGCTCGTGCAGCGGCAAAAGCGGCTGTTTGCAGCGCTCGCCGCCCGCGAAGACTGCTGCACACGCTGCATACAGCCGCTGTTCCGGCGCCATCGTGATGTGTGATAAGCAATACCGAGCGCACGGTAGAGGCGTTAAAGTGCATTTTTCCTCAGCACACATGCTCGTTGCGTTCGAGTCTAATTTACTGCTGTCGCTCCCCGACCAGCCGCTTGCTCTGTAAACACCATAACTTATGGCTATTTTTTTTATTAAATAAATTTAAAAAAAAATTGCCATAATTTTGTTCGACAAGATAATGTTAATTATATAAATAAAATATTTCAAATTAAGGAAAATAATAATATATAATTTAAATTTTAATACAGAAATATATGAGTCAAACAGAAATTGCTTCAATAAACAGCAGATTAATATGTCTTGGAACAATTTAATAAAATAGTAATTAAACAAAAATTATTGATTGTTTTCTAGCTAAATGTCAACATACTTTTGTATTAATTATGTTTTATACATAATTTAAACAAAATTACGTATAAGTAAAAATTTTAGATTATTTTTCTATTTAAATTCAGTCATTTTTGTACTTATTTTTTAATATACACCGATCATATCCATCTGAACTTTTTTAACCTTCTCTTTCGTCATCTTTAAAAAAACGACACTAACAATAGAAAAAACTAAAAAGTTGACTATAGCTAACTTCAGGGTTTTTTATGACGGTGTGCGCGCGCATCGTAATAATTTACTCTCATAATTTTTCCTTAACGCGCCAAAAGAAGTATAACTTCAAAAAAAATGAGGTTGGTCAAAGAGAAATGGAGAGTAAGGCTATGTTCACATGTAACGCGCGTTAACGCGCGTCAACGCGCGATCAAATTTGAAGAGCGTTCAGATGATGAGCGCTAACGCGCGTTGCGAGAGTACTCGTCAGTCTAGTTCGGTAGAACGTAGAAAATGGACGTGGAAGAGGCTATTATTTTGTGGTTATATTATAAAGAAAAATATAGAAAAAGAAAACGTACACATTGGGTTTATCCAATTTTGAAAAAAAAATACAATTTATATTATATTTTTTATACAAATTTGCTATATTCCAACTTGCTGACCTTTTTTCTACTTCATCGATTAGTAAGTCGATGTCAATATCTTCAATTTCACTCATTTTAAAAGCGAGAACAAAATATAATTACGAAAATTAATAAAATTACATGCGATCGCGATGAAAGCGCGCGCTCATCTGAACAGCAAACGGACATTACATTAATATCAAAGCGCGCGTCAACGCGCGATCACCTGCGTCTAGAGACTTTTTCTCTGAGCGCCGCGTTGACGCGCGTTAACGCGCGTTAACGCGCGTACATGTGAACAGTTGTATGAAAAATACCATAATCTCTAGTCGCGCGATTTGAAAACGCGCGTCAAGTTTTTGCCATCTGAACATAGCCTTAGGGTAAGAAATACAGACAATGGACAATAACAAGGATAGAGGACGTTACAAAGAGTATGGGAAAGGACAAGTGGAGATGGATAGGAGACATCTTGCGAGAAGTGGAGTCAACTATAACCCGAATAATCGTTGGTACCCGAAAATTGGAAAAAGTAAAAAAGGCGGACAGTACAAGAGATGGGAAGATGAAATAAAACTGGTTGCAGGCAAGGTTTGGTCAATAATGGGGCGAATAGAAGGGTCTTTTGTCAGGATCGGCAAACGTACATAAGTTTATTTTTATTGATTGTGTGTAAGAAAAAATAAAATAAGTTGTGTTCGCAATAAAAGCTATTTTTATTTTATTTTATGAATAATATTTTTAATTAAGGGAACGTTCAAGTATTACGTAACGAATTTTTTTCTTTTTGTAAAACGTTACGATGCGGGGCGAGAATTGAATTACGCGTTATTGTTAATATTATTTTCGACTTTCCAGTACTTAACACCACATAATGGTAACTTTTAGGTATAAAGTCACTAGGTGGTCTCGTAACGTTTTTCTATACTTGGGTACAGTTCTGTACTTGGGTACAGAAAAACGTTATTATCTATTATTACTTGAACGCGGAGTAATTATTAATTTACCTCAGCGTCCGTCTCTCTTGTAAAGATAAAGTTCCAGTCATTCCGCGCATCGCCAAAAGGTGATTCATCGTTTGTTGAGGAAGACGACAGGAGCTCGCTCCATTTAGTTGTCTCTGAAATTGAAATCGCACATTGTAAAATGGACTGTAAACCAAAGCAATAAAGCCGCTAATGCCATGTACTTACTCTTTACTCATAAAGTGAAAACAATAGACTTCATAATGTGGTCATTAAAAAAATGCGTCAAATTTTGTGACTTTACCAAACATTTAATATTTAATTAACGTCACAAAAATGTATTATTGGATATTTCTTTTGATATTTTTCTTGTAGCAATCGCGACACGTATTTTGAGTATTTATAACTTTTTCTAATACGCTGTTTATTAAAGGTCTTGGGTGCAATTAAAAAAAAAGTTAGTAGCAAAAAGCCATATTTAAATCGCTTACTGCTCACGACTCGGAAGGTATATATATATTATATATTTGTATATGATGGCCAAACGCCCGTTGCAATTTTTGTGTTTCAAGAAGCCCATATACCCTCGCATATGCCATTTCATACTTTGCGTAATATCCTAATCGCTTTAAATATATGCAGGACAATCTGTAGGGCTTTGTATACCGTAAAATTTGCCTTCCGTTTTGGCTTTGCTCTATAATATGAATTATATATTACATTAAACCATATCCCAATAGTTAGTTATAAAAGAGTGGCGGAGAGTTTATTGCCAGTTCTTCTCGTCCGTTCTACGCCCTTGATTTGAGAACTGGCAGTAAATGTAAAATTATAAACTTTTAATGTATATTTCTTTTTTGACGTTCAAAAGTGTACCTTAATGAATAAATGATTTTGACTTTTTTTTACACATTTGCCTCTAACCTTTATAAGGGCTGCCAATGCTTTATGACCATCATGCTTTTTGGTCAAGTGCATAGCCGTCGCCGTCCGAGACACCTGTCTTCTCATCGCAGACCTACGCAGTTCTAGTCTGGCGCTTCGAGACTCTGCCGCACTTTCTTCGACACAGACGGGCCCCGACCCACTCTCTAAAAATAATAGACACCAATTAGATATAATTATCACTTACTGTGCCCCGTCTGTTCGTCAAATAATTGGACTACCCAGCAGAAAAATAATTTTCAAATCAAACCAATAGATCGATTACGAGATATATTTAACTACAAATAACTTAACAATAGCCAATGCGATAGTTGTGTACTTAATTACCGTAACTGAGAACATAAAATCGACGTAGAATGATAACCTCGTATGTCCAGAGAACCAAACATTCAGGAAACGAAATATGTTTCAATTCGTCAATGTTCGTTAAAATATTATTATGTTTTTGTCCATAGTTTTGGATGGTTAAAAGGACTTTTTAATTAATAACATATACAAGTCCTTACTTCATGATTATACTAGTTTAATGACATAAGAGTCTAAGAATAAAAAATAAATTATTTTTTGACATACGAGGTTATTTTATTCTACGATAACGCTTTTGTTAAGTTGTCTATTGCCACAAATGCCCCAATGACAGCAAATAACGTCTGCCGTCTCAAATAGCCGTTGGGTAATAAATTGAGTGATCGCGAGTTTAACCAAAAGCTCTCAAAAGGAAAGATTTGTTAACAAAACATTTTCATTGATACCTTGCTCCTATCAATTGTATTGTTATGTTATATAGAAATGTTACTCGCTGATAATGTAGTTTGATATTGGTTAATAAATTTTTTAAATCAGTACAGCATTTTTATTTATAACAAAAACAAATTGTTTATAAAATTTGTCGAGATAAGCAAGTTTCACAGAATATTCCAGGTTCAAAACTTTGATACATGGCATATCACATTCAAATGTACTCCAAAAACGTGGACTACAAGATCCTACTGAGTTAGAAACACACCCATGCCCTCTTCCATTGACTACAGAATAAATTACTAATAATTTTAATATAGTATGTTATATACGCAGCATAACTGCTCTCAGCCAAACATATACAATACTAGCTGATCCGGCAAACGTCGTTTTGCCATGTATATCATTTATAATTAAAAATAGGGGTTGGTTGTAGAGGGGTGAAAATTAGGGGTTGTATGTATTTTTTAACGTTGTATCATAAAAAAAAAAAAAATAAAGAAAAAAATTTAGGGGTGGACTACCCTTAACATTTAGCGGGATGAAAAATAGATGTTGTCCGATTCTCAGACATACCCAATATGCACACAAAATTTCATGAGAATCGGTCTAGCCGTTTCGGAGGAGTTTAACTACAAACACCGCGACACGAGAATTTTATATATTAGATTAAGGCTAATTGGGTTATGAGAGGAATTCATAGGTAAGGTATTAACAGTCTAAATTAAAACATACCATTTTTGAGGTTTAAACTGTAACATACCATAATCAGGCATAATGTCATCATCGCTACTGCTTTCTAAGAGTTTGTATGGGTTTGTATTCTGAATATCTAGTGGGCCACATTCAAACAACTCCTCATCCGGTGAGTGCCAGGTCTTTATTGGCTGTACTATTACTCTGTGGTGAGGGGATATCCGTTGCAAGGCCTCATGCTGTATAGGCCCTCTACCTTTTTTCGCCTTGGTTGATGGTTTGGCTAAAATATTAATGTAAAAAATTCAATCACTTTTTTTTCTGAGATTAATAATACAATTACATAAAAAAAATAAGCCTTAAATAATACAAATTTAATTATCATTTTCCATTAAATATTTTGATTACAAGATTTATTATATATTGTCATAGAGACCAAGATAAAAATTATAAAACACAACTATTCTCAAATGAAATTAAAAAAGTAAGAACCTGCAGACTTCTTTTGGGCAGGAGTGGAAATTTTAACAGGTTCAGTCTTGTTAACTGCTACTTGGCTGTCAGACAAAATTTGCTCTCGTTTAAAAACATCCAAAAATGTTTCTCCTCCTGCTTTTGCAGTTACATTCTGGGCATTATCCTTAGAAACATCACTGTTATGCTGTAAAGCTTTGTTTGTCGGTGGGTGCCCCTTAGGGCTTGGAAGACCTGGACGATGAATAATAGTTATCTTTGGCTGATTGACACAAATGTCTTGAGCCTGAACTTTTTTCGCTTTGGCATTAACTGTCTTTTTATCTACTGCCTTGTTAATTTCATTGATCTTACAGTGACCATTCAAAAAGGGTTGATTAGCAGTTTGTTTTATTTCACCATTATTTAAGCCTCCTAAAAGATCAAGTTCCTTAATAGGGCTTTCTAAAGGTATAGCTTTCCCTTCAGTATCAGACAGAGTCACATTTTCTTCTGTGTTACTAACAGTAATTTCACCAGCTATAACATCTGAATCATGAAACGTATACAGATCATTAGGATCAATCTTAAATTTTGAATGAAAGAAGTTTTCTGATAAATGAGGTATGTATGATTGCTCATCTCCTGAGCTGTCATTAATGTACATATTCACATTACTGTTACATGATCCAGGAACACTTTCAACTGCCATTTTATATTGACTCGCACAACTTGTTTCTGATATATTTTGGGGAATACCACTGAAACTACAAAAATATGCATTATTACATAAACTAATAATGTAAAAGGTTAAGTCTGTTAATAAAAAGTAAATATTGAGAATGTTTGCTACATAATATTACATATGCTATTATAATAGTTATTTTATTATAATAGAAACACCAGGAAAATAAGTGCACTTAGATATGTCACTACATAAAACTTTATGGCTGAGAGGAAACTGGATCATAATTGAACATTTAAATTAATATATTATTCAAAGTATGTAAAGTTTGGACTTCAAATAAAAGCCCTCTTTGTCGTCAGAAATATGATAATGGATTGATTTTATAATCAATTTTTATTATTAAAAATCTATAAGTTTGATGTTAATGGTATGTTTACAGTAGTATGAACTCACCCCACATTTTCTGAAGTGCTCATATAAGACATACTGGGAACATTTTACAACCTAATATTACATACATAAGTCAAATGCAATAGGGTCATTGGTCCCAATAAATGCCACTGAAATTTAAGAAAAATATTAAAATGAGCAAGAACGCAATATTTTGCATTCAGACGATAAGAAATTGTATTTTATAATGTAATGACAATTAGTGACATGTGTCAAAATTACCAAATCATTTTATTTCTCAGTACTTTTTACTTTTCACTAAAATTTCTAACCAAATTCTTAAACCCGAAATGCGTATATTAAAACAACAAAAAAAATAAACATTAGTTTAAGCAAAAATAAAATGAAATAAGTGAAGCACAAAATATGCATCTATTATTGTAAATTAGTTTCTTTTTTACGGGAGTCCTACTTTATATTAATTACCTTATACAAGAGCAGTGTCGGATAGTATAATATGATTATTTTTTGGCAGTATTTTGTACACAAATATCTTTTTATCGAAAAGCTTTGTTGTAGAATTAATTTCAATAACATCAAATGTTTGACAATTGACAAATGGCATGTTTATTGTTTACTACTTGACAGCTTAATTTGTGACAACGACATTTTAATTATCTTTGGAGTCTATGACCTGTCTTTGATTATTGTATAATTTTAAAACTAATGTTATCATTAACCAAACATATATTATATTTTAAATTTCATATCGTTTATAATTTATGTTAAAATATAGTTATATTATATGTTGCTTAAATCTTTCGATTCTGCATTACGATGCTGCAAACAAGCTATAGACAAGAGATACGCCATTACTAAATACATATTGAATGTAAAATTACCATTTTATTTAGCACGCATTTAAAATATCGAAACATTAATAATGTTTTCAATGAGCATTAGAAAGTATTTTTTATTAATTTAACTTTGGTAATGAGCTTGTCGTTGGATATATCGTAATACAGGGTTGCCATTATTCAATTTCTATTTACATATGTGATGACTGATTTAATTTTAAACATTTTGAGTAACCTCAAGTTCATGTAATGTAAAAAACCTAACATTGTATATTAAAGTCACATAAAAGTTATTTAATATATGATTTTACAGCCACATTCATACAAAAAAACAAAAAAGACGCGTAGCATATTAAACTATCAGTTCATAAATATTGTGCATTTAAAATTACCGCCATTTCACATTTTAATTTGAGAACCCCATTAGTAGAAGCGTTGTTGGAAATCCAATATGGCGTTATCTGATGTTTTAATATTTTGAAGGTACGTCAATTTGACGATTCTGTAATGTGTATCCCGGTAAATATCTTGTTTTTAGTGTGGTTTAAGTATAAAATGTAATCAATGATATAGTTTTAGTTTTATTTTTGTTTATGAAAGTGTAGTGAAAGTCTGGTGATTGTATTGTTTTGTTTGTAATTTCCGATAATTTAGTGAACCATTGTCGTACAAAAATTTAATGAGCTCAGTTGATATTTACGTTTCTGCTTATCAGTAAACGTAATTTCTTAATATATACGTTGTTATTTAAATGTACAATGTTGTGTTTTTGTAAAGACCCGAGAGTTGAATGTAATTATAGTAATTATAATTATATTATATCTATATATGCAAAATTTTAGTGGTTATGTGTATATTATCGAATGTTTTTTGTTACAGAAGTCTATGTTTTATTACCAATGGGAGTTAAATAATTCAAACTGCCGGTGCATATGAATAGCGCCAGAAAACGTGATTCATAATTTGAGATATTAGTTGTAGTCGCGCGAATGCGATCATGACTGACACTAGACGAAGGGTGAAGCTGTATGCTCTGAACGCTGACCGGCAGTGGGACGATAGAGGGACAGGCCATGTATCCTCATGTTACGTTGATAGGCTAAAAGGTACTTCTTTATTGGTGAGAGCAGAATCCGATGGAACATTATTATTAGAAAGTAAGATACAACCAGATACAGCGTATCAAAAACAACAAGATACTTTAATAGTATGGTCAGAAGGTGATAACTTTGATTTAGCTTTAAGTTTTCAAGAGAAAGCTGGATGTGATGAAATATGGGAGAAAATTTGTCAGGTAAGAGTGATTTTTTTCAATTTTTTTTTATTTGTATTAAATTAAGGCTATTAAATTGTGCTTCTTTACCCAACAAGGTTATGCTTGAGTATAAAAAAACTCCAATTACTATTACTAATAACTTTAAACCTTATGATTATAGGTACAAGGCAAAGATCCTTCTGTTGAAATAACACAAGATATAGTAGAAGAATCTGAAGATGAGAGGTATGATGAAATGTCTGATAGTGTACAACCAGTAGAATTACCAGCCTGTGAAATGGGTCGCTTGGAAGATATCAGTGAATTGGTTAACAGTTGTTTGGTCTCTCCAACGAGAAAGGACAAGCTAGCAGCAGCTTTAGAGACCCAGCACTATATTAAAAAACTTCTCAATCTCTTTCACATGTGTGAAGATATAGAGAATATTGAAGGCTTGCACCATCTCTATGAGATCTTCAAAAGCATTTTTCTTCTCAATAAAAACACACTATTTGAAACAATGTTTGCAGATGACACAATATTTGATGTTGTTGGATGTCTAGAATATGATCCCAGTTTACCCCAGCCTAAGAAACATAGAGAATATTTAAGAGAGCTTGCTAAATTTCGAGAAGCCATTCCCATTAAAAATAAGGATTTACTAGCTAAAATACATCAAACATACAGAGTACAGTACATACAAGATATTGTCTTACCGACTCCAACAGTTTTTGAAGATAATCTGTTAAGCACATTGTCCAGTTTTATATTTTTTAATAAAGTAGAAATAGTGAAGCTAATAGAAGAAGATGAGAGGTTTTTAACAGATTTATTTAAGTTACTTATGGACAGTAAGACTCCTGATGTCAAAAGGCGAGAATTAGTTTTATTCCTAAAGGAGTTTTGTAATTTTTCTCAAAATCTTCAGCCGCAAGATAAAGATGCCTTCTATAAGACACTTGTGTCGTTGGGGATCCTACCTGCTTTAGAAATAACACTAAGTATAGATGATCAGAAGACGAAGACTGCATCTATAGATATTTTGACTTATATAGTTGAGTTTTCACCTTCAGTGGTGAGGGATTACACATTACAACAAGCTAACAACACTGAAGAGGTAAGTTGTCATATTTTACTAATGACATTATTTCTGTCATTAAATGCATTAAATTAGCATAAAAATTGTTAAAATGATCATTAATAGCTATATTTTCATTACAATATCAATATAAGGTCTATTATATAAGGCTCAAAAAAAAAAATCATACTAAAAAAAGTTTATTGTTACATCACATCTTATTCCAATAAGCACTTAATTTCTTTGGTTTAATATTTCAGGAACAAATGCTTTTAAACATTGTGATAGAACAAATGCTTCGAGATAGAGATCCCGAGTTGGGTGGGGCCGTCCAACTTATGGGTGTTCTACGTATACTTCTCGATCCCGAGAGTATGCTGGCATCTGTGAATAAAAGTGAAAAGGCAGACTTCTTAAATTTTTTCTATAAGCACAGTATACAAACATTAATAGGTAAGGGTTGCGAATTTGTATAGAGTTCGATAGTCTACCTACATGTTAGGAGTCTTATTTTAATATTATTTAACAAATAGTTAATTTTAAAACATGTAACATATTGAAGAGTTTATGCCCGACTTCATAATCAAAGAGTAAATGTTCTAAATATAATTTTGAAAAAATATATCTCTAACAATTTTAATATATTTAAAAGGATATTTACAAAAAGTATTAATATTAAAAATGTGTGAACGAATTACAGCACCCTTACTAGACAACACAACGGGAGAGACACCTCTAAAAGAAGATTACCACACAGTGCAGTTACTCGGTTTAGTGCTGGAACTACTTTCCTTCTGTGTCGAACATCATACATACCACATCAAGACCTGTATATTAAATAAAGTAAGTTTTGTATATAATATTTTGATTATATAATATAAAAGTCTTAGTCCCCGAGTGGGCTGTGACATCAATTTTTTTCTATAATCCTTCTACCTTCTGATGAATTAAAACATTTTGTTTCTTTGAGACATTTTGGTTAAAACATAAAAAAAGGTTGACCATTTATATTCAAAGGAAGCACACATCATTAAAAATTATTAAAGATTTTAAATCTTTGTACATGTTGGCAGGGTTTATTTCTATGTTGTTCCTTTTATTTTCTGTTGCCACTTGGTTTGCATATGAAGGTAGTAGTTATGTTTGTATGTTTGACATACATACATAACTTATTTATTATTATTAAAAAGTTAATCTTATTTATTGAAAAAAAAAAATATTTCGGAAGTCAGTCACAAGTGACCCTTGTTTTATAATAATGTTTGCCCCTGCAAGCTTCCATAAACTTAGACCTTTGGATTCTATCTACATAGATAGATGGATCGAAATTAATTTAAGTATATGATTTTTGTGTAAAATAAACAATCTGCCTTCTAGGATCTGCTCCGTCGTATTTTGGTACTGATGAGATCGACGCACACGTTTCTCGTCCTCGGCGCTCTGCGGTTTATGAGGAAAATTATCGCGTTGAAGGACGAATACTATAATCGTTATATTATTAAGGGAAATCTCTTTGCACCAGTGATAGATGCGTTCCTTAGGAATAATGGAAGGTGAGATTTTTACTTTATGATTTTATAAGATAGAAATCCGAATCTCCAATATCTCAATTCGAAATTATTGGAGTCATTACCATCTACTGTATTACTGTCAGTTAAAAATTACTTATTTTTGTCATTTAGTGATAAATAACGGAGCATTAATAATTGTAAATTTTTAAGTATTTAATACAGGTGTACTTTTAAATTCTTGCGTACTAGAATATTGACAATAGACTGTATAAGATTTATTTAAAATAAAAAATTGAATTACATTTATAATTAATAGCAATAAGTTACTATATTTTATTTAAACTTATTGGCTTATTAAAATCCATCTGCTTGGTTCTATGCCCTTAATTTTTTCTAAAAATATTGCATGAAACTTTAAACCTAGTTTTAATTTCAAATTGTAGGAAATGTTTAATATTGCTTTTAGAAAAAAATATTACTATGTCTCTGTAAAATCAAATTTCAGAGTTCAATAAAGTAAACACATGTTTCAAGTCATAAAACTGAATTCATTCCTTTATTGATTAAAATTTACTTACGAATTCTTAAATTGAGTAAGATTATGAGACTTGCCGCTTTACGAGAATTTTTATAAATTTTATTATTCAAGTGAAGCACCTTATATGAACTATTATTTGTTAACCGACAAAACGAAAGAGGTATGATTTTTTTAAAGAATAATCGCATCAAAAACACTTTGACATTCCAGGTATAATTTATTAGACTCGGCTATATTAGAATTATTTGAGTTTATCAAACTCGAGGACATCAAGTCGTTATGTTCGCACGTCGTAGAGAACTACGGCAAGATATTAGAAGACGTGGAGTACGTACAAACGTTCAAGGCCTTGAGGACGCGCTACGACCAGCATCAGGATAAGCTTAAGGAGAGAGATAGAGGTGAGTCTGAGAGATTTTTACTCAATAATTTATTAATGAAAATTTTAATAAAAATAAAAAATGTGGTAGGGGAAAGTCTCATATTTAATTAAACCAATAAGTGACGGGTGGTTAAGCTGGAGGTCGAGTATTCGTAATCCTACAGCTAACATAAATTAAAAAAAAAATATATAGTAAAGATATAATGGAATACAAAAATATTCAAACGTTAAATTCGATTCGATTAAATTCGTTTTGACATGACTTTGTGAATTAAACTAGTTTTACTTTAGTTGAAAGCTTTGACCTTAATTGCACTGAGGCCTGCAACTTTTGAGATAATTGTGTTGCAACTTGTGAATATTATAAGAATGTTTACCTCGTGTGACTCAAGGTTTCTGATGTACTCAAATACTGGTTTGTTTATTTACAGCCCATACTTACATACCCAAATTTCAACAAAATATATTAACATATATACATATATATTGTGCATTGTTAGTATGATTTATATGAAACAAGGTCACAAGACAATTATTTAATTTAGAAACTGTTTAATTATATAAAACGCGTTAAATTATTTCGAGAACCGTTGGGATAGTCTTATATGAATAATATACGAAATAAAAAAATATATATTTTTATTGTACCTATAGTCATTATACGTAATAATTATACATACATATTATTATTATTTATATTATAATGTGTACCGCCAGCTAAAGAAAATTTGTTATTTTGATATTGTTTTAATAACCTACGTACAATATACAAAGTTATTGTTAAATATAACTGAAAAAAATTTCAATGGTACGTTTAAAAAATAACTCAAAATATTTCTTTAAACCTGACCCATAAATTTAACTCCAAAACGTTAACGCTTACCTACCTACTTAGATGATAACAACAACATCAATGGCGCTACAACCATTTTAGGTCTGGGCCTCAGGTCTCTGTATCTGTTTCATGATCATTTGGCAATATAATAGGCAACTAGGTGATCAGCCTCCTGTGCCTGACACACGCCGTCGAATTTTTGGGTCTAAGACTAGCCGGTTACCTCACGATGTTATCACCGTTCGAGCGAATGTTAAATGCGCACATAGAAAGAAAGTCCATTGGTGCTCAGCTGGAGATACACTATAGCCACATGAATTTTCTGCTAAAGTATGCTTTAAATTTAAGGTATTTAGAATTAACGTTATAGCTTAATACTTCGTTGGATGTAAATTAATTAATTATAATTTCAATGCGAAATAAAAGCACTTCACTTGAACAACTTTTTACGTAGTAAACACTAACTCATGTGTTGTATATCAATTACAATAATAATATTTCAATAATTCATTATGCAGTGGTGGTTACAACAAATAATTTGTAAAGAAAAAGCTTTGTGATTAAAGTGTCGGAGAGTTTAGTGCCATCGTCCGTCCCATTGATTTGAGTACTGGCAATAAATTTAAACTAAGAAGCATTTAAAAAAAATAATATACCGCTACACCCCTATATGGGTCAGATTGGCCAGATACCCTTGGCCTGAGACTGCTTCCGTTTCTTTGATCATTAAGTAGATTATCAGCCTTCTGTGTTTGACACATGTCGATTTTCGCCTTCAATGTAGGAGCAAGTGTTAATTGCACATGGAAAAATTAAATTAAAAATTCCATTGATACCACCGTGATTGTTATATATATATGAATAAATATTTTGATTCTAGTAAGTGGTAGCGTAGGAGTATCAGAAGCAGTGGTTCCATCACTACTCCGGTCTCGGTACCGACGCGAAGCGCGGCAGCCTGATGACGAAGAGGAGATGTGGTTCAATGACGAGGACGAGCTGGAAGATGAAGCGCCTCTCGATACAGCGCAGACGCACGCGCATCACGCGTTGGATGCCATCGGTGAGCGTTGCTATTACTTTTATGGAGTTAAAATAACCTTTTCCATATCCATATATTATTTAAGAATAAGTGATAAAGTTAGGTTTTATTATTTATAAAATGAATTTTAAAAAATTTTTTTTATAAAATACTAATAATATACACATTCTATAAACTTGTATTAGCTATACTTCTGTAAATTTGTTGAACTTTTTATAGATTTTTCTCTCTCTCCCGTAGTGACTAGAAACACATTTTTGCATAGATCACCTTGAAAATATATAAATAGAATTTGAAATGTCCATTTCCAGGCAAGATAGTGGAGAAGAAAGTGTCCCCCAGTGTGACCACAGAGGTCGCGAACGGGCCAAGTCGGGTGCTGAGTGCGTCGCCGAAGCCGCAAACAGACGTACAGGTATCGCCCACATTACTCAGTAAGGTAATTAGTGTCCTACCGATCACGGACGGGGCTTTGCTTCGCACCTTACCAGCGACACGTTATTAATACCGAAATAACTTAATAAAACATCATTAAAATATCTAATATTTAAAAAAATAAAGTTTCGTTGAACGTGTTGCGTATACGTCCAGTGCATACAAATGATACGTACTGATGATGTAATAGGCAACAGTTTTTTTATAAATTGTCTCTGCACCAAGACATCATTTAACATTCCGATCTAGCCTAACTTAAGACTAATAAGTCATTTAAAACTAATCTCATTTACTAAAAAAGATGTTTAAGGTAAGAAAATGTGCACTAGCAATAATACTAGTCTCTATTAAGGGGAAGACACTCTGTTCTTGTGTTATATTTTTCACTGTTTAGCACTAAATCACTAATTCGAATGGTTTTCTCCTTTTCAATCTTACTCGGCCCGTGGTGGAAGAAAAAGAAATGTTTTTTATTACGTTGAATATAAAATTAATAATTAATTTAAGTGTTTGCTTAAATTAATTTACAGTATTTCATAGTTAATATATACAATTATATATTTAAAAAAATTTAAAAATATATGTTTATTATTTTTAGTTACAAATATTTGATTCATAAGTAAACGGATGTAGTGTGTCGCTGGTAGATACAAAATAAAATACTGTTTATCTACATTTAAATTTTATTTAATTTTATTAAGTGTTGCAAGTGACTTAAGGTTTAAGTTCCAAGGACAATTTTTGTCAAGACAAAATTTGTATTTGTATAGAAAACGTGCTTCCATAGATTGAATTTAATTTGGGTATTGAAAATGTTAGCTTCTCTTCCACGAGAACAATTATATTAGAAAAGAAACCTATGACAGTATTTTATTTATTACCTATTTTTAGTGAGATTCGCCGCATGCCGTTATTATTTGCCTTGCCTTCGCATCTCCAAGTCAAAGGTGCCGAGTCGCGTCATCAAAGCCGGCCTGTCATAGATTACAGACCTATCACAGCCAGCTTTGATGAGCACGAATCCACCGCCGAACCCTCAAGCCATACAAGCCATACGACTTCGTCTTCGTACATTTGCATATGGAAGAAATTTTATTATTCAGCTTATAAGAGAAGAGACATTTTGTTTAATGTATGGGATATTTCTTACAGTTAAATTTACATTTTGGTTGCACAGCATCACCAAAACATCTCCAATTTCTATTATAATAATGTTAATTATTTATTTATTTATTAGTAATCTTACACCTAACACGTATCCATATTATAAAACAAAACACGTAGACAATACACAATGCCAAAATAGATTACATCGATAAACAAAATATATGAAACAGAATACAAACCTGAAATTATTTCTTAAAATTTTAAAGAAAAAACTTAATTGTTACTGCTAAACAAAGTGAGGGTCTTCCCGCTTATTTAAATATTTCCTCAAATAATCTTTGGTGAGGTGGAAAATATCAACATCTTCATAATTAGTGTCATAGGTAGTTAAAACCCGAAACACTGCTGAATTACGCAGATAATTAATGTTCGATAATAAAACTTTATTCATGACAGAAATGTTCATACTCATTGCAGCTTCGCTTGAAGTTTTGTAATAGAAGCATGTTTAAATAGTTATAATTAGTAAGAGCTTATTTAATGCGTGTGACTCGCAGTTAATTCAATGGTAAGGTGATTACATATCTGGCCTTTATAACTAAAAAAAATATCAATTTGTTTGAGCAAAACAGATAATTTTTTTTTTTTTTTTAAGACGCACCAAGACCAGATGAATGTTGTTGTCAAAATATTGGCAACGGATCTCACAGTATACATACATTTATAGATAGATAGACATATAAATACATATTTAAACACCCAAGACCTAACAAACCGGATTCGTAGTCAGGGGTACTAACCACTAGACCAATGAGTCGTCAAAACAATGTTTTGTTAAAATATTGAAGATCTCACAGTATTGTCTCTCACTCACCTAACAGAGATTTTAATAATGAATTATTGATCGATTTCTAAAACACCTTTTATTTTGACAATAAAGAAAACAAACGCAGTCTGAAAGGTCGTTCGGAAGATATGCACACAAATATTTTTATTCATAGAGTTTATTTCAATATCATAAAACATTTTATTTACGCTTTGAAGCTCGGGTCATAAGTATGTAGCACTATATTATATTAAATCTGTTCCAGGGTTTGGTGGATTACGACGGAGATTCCGACGAAGAGGAGGAAAGTGGGACGAGCGGTACGAGTGGAACGAGTGGAACGAATGAGGAGCGGGAGGCGAAACGGCCCAGACTCGCGTAGTCTTCCGATTCCAGTCCCTTAACGTCTCCGCTGGAGAAAGTATGATGTTCCCGGGTTCCCAGTTTCAAGGAATATATTCCCCCGTCTCGCTCCCCTGTGCGTACGTAAGGGCTTTTTGTTAAAAGGGTTGAAGCCAAGTTCATGGTTAATGGTCCGTTTTTCTTAAATGTGGATTTACTGATAACGAAACGTCACATGTCTAAACGCCACTAACGGACCGTTTTCCTGTAAGCTGAACTTAGCTAGTGCATAAAAGTCAATCAAATTTAAGAGCCGCTTAAGTTGTTATATTTGAGTGACTTTAGTTCAAAAAATGTAATTGAGCGCGACCCTCTATTTGCGCTTCATTATATTCACTGATTCGTGTGATTAAGTAATGGTCAGTTGATTATAATATTAATAGCCAAAAAATCTAATTTTTTGTTAGAACGTGTAATGTTTGCCTTCCATATTTTAGCCTAATTTTAGTTTATTATCTATGGTGTTTGTGCATATTTGGACTATAAATACATAATATAAAAATACAAAGGCATTGCAATGTTTATATTAATCTGAGGTGCGCCTATAATGCAAATTAATGTAACATTAGGGTTTAATTTGTTGAAGTATACAAAATTATTTATATTATCTATAGTTCACATACAGCATGGCAACCCTGGACCCTTTTAATATTTTTTTAATATTAGAGAAAACTGGCCATTACTAATCTTCCAATCCCGAGCGATATAATTATAATATCACTGAAATTTAAGTAATGTACAGACGAGTTTCGTCCTCGCTAATTATTTTATTAATTAAAAATGATCCAAAACGAAATTGCGGCCGACGTTCATTGATTTTATTCCTGATGGTACTGCCATATGTTTTTAATACAAATGTATATATAAAGGCGCATAACGCACTCACGTTTCGGCCGCTAATATTTATTAAATGAATGGGGTTATTCTGTAATTTGGCTACGATAAAAGTTTAGGCCAAAAATTCACATTAAAAATGATCGTATAAGTCGTATCTCAATACAAAGTAACCCAGTATTTATGCTTTCTATTATAATATATAATGTAAATACGATTGGCACTCAAGTGTCGCATTATCATTAGTTGAACGTCGTAGTGTATAAACCGGAAGGTATCACAATGTAGAACAAAATATCGGTTATGGTTTGTCAAAAAGGGCCGATGCGTACGCATTTACTTACGTATACGTCGACCACAACGTCTACGGACGTAGGTATACGTTGAACACGATGTCGAAACGCTTAATCATAATTTTATACAAATTTTCTTAAAGAAAATAATTTTCGGAGCTCGGTCACCCTGACGTATACGTGTGCGAACGCATGGGTTGTGCATTTATGTTGCATTTCCATATTAAGAAAGCGAATTGTTTATCACAAACTTCTCATTAACAATAAAGAAACGATTCGGTATTCGTAAACGACTGAAATGAAACATAAATGTTTTTGAACGGTGAGGTCACCATTCGGATGATTGTAATCAAATAAAGTACAAAGAAAATGTGAGTGGGATTTATTATATTACTTTTAGTAAAGGACACAATGAATGTGGAATGTATGCATGTGTGTTGATAGGATACACTAAACGACCAACAATAGATTATATTCATTGGAATTGCATCTGTAGAAAAATAATCGACAAATTACTGCTAGTTACACAAGTTAAAACGTATTCAGTTTTCGTTCTCTTGAACCTCCTAAAGCTGTCTTGAACCCTCTCTAATCGATACCTTCGTTAAAAATAAACGACGCATGAGATTTTCATAAACAAGTGTTACTCCATAAGCTTGACAAAGTATTAAGTACTGAAATGTATTCGACAGATGTTAATAAATAAACTTAGTGTTGGGTATAATAGGTAGAATCGTATCGAGAACTTAGGCTGTTTTGGAACTAAAGGCAACAAACCATTGGTCACATATGACCGTCTTCTATGAGGTATCTCAATTCACAATCTCCACTCGAGTACTGACCAATATGTCATAAAATAGAGATCTTGAAACTAGATTTAAAGTTCAAGTGACGTTTTAGACATGTAAAATGCCATATTCTATAGAATATCAATTTATTAAAGATATCAATCAAATCTAACAACGTTCCAACGTACGTAACGTATACCAATTATTAATGAAACTATTTCAAATGCGGCAAAAGACGGATAGACGCTAGAAGAAAGTTCATAGGGGACGTTTAAGTATTACGTAAGCAGATTGATTGCAAATACACCCCCTCACCCCTCTTGTCAGCAAGAGCTAGCAAAGCTCTCAAAAATAATAGTACATAAACGTATTAATTTTTTTTTAGGAATCCTCGAAAATGTATTTCATTTTCAAGCATAGACAATGTGTGGGTAATGTGTAAAAAAGTAAATACTGTTCACGTAATGACCAAATAAAGAAAATCAAAGACCCCCCCCCTTCCCCCTTTAGTGCTTACGTAATGCTGAAACGGCCCCATACGTACTCGACGCAAATCTTTTAAATTTTTTCTTAATACTTTGTCAAACTCCTTAATGCAAACCTGGTAGTACAGTACAAATTGGAATGTTACAAAAATTACGTTGCATACACTTACCAGTACTTAATGCATCGGTTAAGATAATTTTTAATTTTCAACGTAAGGTTCTGAAAAAATCTTTTATTTTATGTTCTCGAGTTTCATCTATTTTGACGAAACGCTTGTGTAATTCGCATGTAATTTTAAATACTTGCGTAATAATGTTTGACAATATTCATAAATATTTATGAGTTTGCGATTTTGCATTTTAAATTTTGACACGATACTCCAAAATTGTCGTACATTATTCAAAGGTGACAATCGCTTTGATGCACAAAAGGGGGGGCGTGGCAATGTCGAAAGATCCACATCATTCGATTGTAATTAATTGGTCTGGAAAATGTGACCCGTGATTGGACCCCTTGTCCAACCACGCCATCGCTTCGCCTTATATTCTCATGCCCACGTATTGCAATATTGGAATATGGATCGACAATGGCTAGCCGCACACACGCAATAATATTGTCAAATTAAGTTTGTCAATTTGTTTTAACAATATATGCCTCCGCATATTTCTCAATATTATTGCCAATATTTACTAATTTTAAAAGGCTCAGTCACGAACTGATCCTTGATGTACGCGGAAGTATGGATAATAAAAAAAAATTTGTCATATTGTGTATGGCAATAAGCCTGTTAAATAAGAAACCGCGAGCAAAAAAAAACGATGGATTAAAGAATGGATGCGAAAAAGAACGGAATTTACAAAAAAAATAAATTTTACAAAAATCCAACAAAAATCAAAACAAACAATAATATTTGAGACATAGAAAACAACTCATTTGACGTGCACTCGCACTCACACAATAGTATTGACAATAACCCTGCCTCCCCCTGAATATTGACGGCATATTTCAGAATTTCCGGAAATTCGCAATAAAATTGAACAATACCGCAATACACGCCGCACACACACAATATTATTGACAATACGTATTTTATTGTCAATATTATTGCGTGTGTGCGGCTAGCCATTGATTATATAGAGAATTCAAGATTTTATTTGAGTGACTCGGTCCATTCTCAATCAAAAATGTTAACAGAGCCACGCAAAATGCCAGTTTTGCTAGCCTAAAGTTTTAGGAGATTTTCTACGAAAAGTACACGCGCAAACTTTCCCCCACAACGCATATACGGTCTAGTTCACAATCACAATAGACAAACGGGCACATCGCTTGAGAATAAAGAATTATTTAAAATGATTTTGCAAATTAAAACTTAGCGTGGCTCTGAGATTATTTTTGTTTCAACCAATATAGATTTAATTATTTGTACTCTATCGTTAATAAAATACAATTACAAAAAACGTAATTGTAATTTTCTTAGTCTTTCCGACATTTCGAAAATGACGCTTGCGGTCTCTAACATAATAAGACTTAGTTTAGTCGTAGGAGACCCCGACTGTTATTTAACCTAAATTGTATTATTATGCATGAAACAGGCTTTTTTCAAAGTTACCTAGCCGTTATTTTGATGTTTTAACAGTCCAAAACATATCAGTTTTAACCGTTTTTATAAATTTGATCTCAAAATGTTGTAATTCAAACTACATCGACTCAATCCTATTAATCATTTTTTGACTTATGCACAGCGACGGCGAGACAAAATTTTACGAGCGTGGAATGAATTATCAGAAATTTGTAAATATTTTGTGTACTTTATTTGTCCTGTGAATAATGCCTAGTTTCCATATCACCTTACGAGTAACGCACGGTTATTGGTAAAGTGTTTATCGAGCGGCATCATCCAACTGTCAATTATATTTGATTTTTTATATTCCTTGAAATGACTTCCGTTGATTAAATTTCTAGATAAAAGTAGACTGTAACAATAACTATTTTTTATCTGTCTAGGTGGTTGACCATCGTAAACTAATTTATACACAGAATTAAATTTATAATAGATTTAACTATTGGCGAGTTGTGTAAAATAAATAAGCTTATAATAATGCTAATTTTATGTCACTAGTTACGTAAGCAATATAAATATAAGAAATACGATACATATTGTGTTATTTATTTCGACGATCTAATCTTAGTGAAACATTTTGTGAATAACAAGAACAATACATCTATTGATATGCAATTGCGGCAAGTTCTTCAAACAAGCTAATAAAACATTTAACAAACAAAAACATTAGCCATAACTTCTATGGAAAACGGTTATTAGAATTAGAAAGAAAAATAAATACACCTGCTTGTTACAAATTTGGGCTGCCCATGTTTTTCTTAAGAATAGTTTGAGAAATCTAAAAAATCTATTTCTAGACTATTGAGACATTATAGGATCTAACATTTTTGAAGTTATACTTCTTTAGGCGCGTTATGAAAAATTTATGAGAGTGAAATTTTACTATGCGCGCGCACCCGTGACACAAAATTAGGAGTGTGATTATAGCGTGCGCGAGCGAGATAGGAATAAGACAATCTACAAGTAAAAAGAAATAGAATATGCGTGAAGTTCGTATGCCAACAATTTTGAATGACCATTATGACATTTGTCATTTACCTTTTAAACAAATAAAGGAGTTTTAATTATTTTTTCAAAGAAATTTAGCGATGCTTTTTGAATTATAATCAGAAGTGATTTAAATTGAATATTTAAACCAATACTAATTAATATTTGTGAAAAAACTGTGCTCATCAACCTTCCTAAGTGCTTCAATACAATTGAGGTTAACTATACGTATGTATTATTATTATTATCGAGTAATGTTTTGATTAAAAAATTAACCACATTGTTTAATCAAAACATGTAATTTTTCTGATTTTATCTAGCAAATATAAGGAAAAGAGACAAAAAACAATTGATGAATCAGTGTAACTGCACTCAATTGAATACAAAAAAAGAGTTTTCATCTTATCGCTGTGAAACATCAAAAACTGGAGGTGGAACAAAGCCAAACTATTTTTAATATTGCCAAAGAAGTATAACTTCTTACGCGCGTACATAAGTACACGGACCCTTTTTTTTATATCAAATACAAAAACAAACCACTTCAAAGACCCCTTATTTTTTATAGTTGAAGCGGAACCTGTGAGTAAGAAGTAGATAAAAATATAACCATTATGTAAAATCAAAAGAGGATTTTGTCCTTTTTACAATTGATTAACGCAAGTGCTTTCTGCAAGTGTCACCCTTTCGCCAAAGGTTAACGGCCTAACAGGCTTTTAATACCAAAAATAAATACATTAAATTCAAAGAGGCTAAAATATTAATGGCTGCTTTCCACCACTTCGGTCTTAAGTTTAGTAGCGAGGGCCCTTCGTAACTGCATTGCGTCTGGAGACGGAGCTGGTGCTGACCCAGATAGAGCTGCTTGGGCCATTCGAGCTGATTTAGGCCTTTGGAACTTTGCTGTGCCTTCGCCACCTTGAACAACGTATTTTTATTTGACTCGTTCATTCAAAAAGGCTTATGTTACAGTGTAAATGAAACAAGACACCTATTTAAGGAAAAATAAATATGCTTGTGGCATAAAATAACTAGTTTTTATAAGTTGCTAGCAGACTATCACCCCAAAAAAAGGTGACACCCGGTGCGCCCATTTTATTTAATATAAAAAATATAAGATTAGAGAGAGAAGATAAAAGAGAATTCTGCAATGTGACTATGATCGCTTCTTGGCACTTATAACATCCTAAATATCACAAGATAAAAGTTTTACTACTTATAAACCCAGAATGGAATCTTATACAACGGAACCAAAAACCTAGACTGTGATTGATAGATGCTGACTTAAAATAGTTAGTAAAATTACCGCCAGACAGCGCTTCAGTTTCAGCGCCAAGTTGTTTTTCACGAACTTGCTTCTTTAAAGCCAACAGCTTGTCCCGCTGTTGTTTCAAATACTCTTGTCGTGCCTTTATTTCTTCTTCCGATACCTATAAATACAAAGGAAGAAGCGCTTGAATATGAAAATATTATTTATTGCGAGCTGATTACAGCAAATAATTTTCAATAAACGTAACGTATAGTGGCAAATAAAAGACCCAGCTGTTTATACCCAGTCTTTTCTTAAAAGACAAATTGAAATTCGTTTGTAGAAACACGTATTTTTTATCATTTATGAAATATTTGCTGTGTTTGAAGTCCCGTAATTATGCAATAGGACTCCATCCGATTTTGTTTTTCAAGGCATAGGTTAACAGCATTTTGTGTCTTTGGCACGTTCGTTAAGGAAACCACGAAGGCTGTGGTAAACTTACCTCTGGCTTTTTCGGTACAACGACCAATGGAATCTTAACTTTTGGTTTTTCTTTGGGGGTTTCTACCACTTTGATATCATCTCTCTTCTCAAAACTGTGCAGTTTCGTCAGAAGAGTTTGCTTTTCAGCCTTAACCTCTTCTGGTGGCACTGTAACCTCATCGGTATCCGAGTCGTCAAGTTTCAGTCTAAATCATAAAATATCTTTAAAGGTTTTTGCTATTCTTCGTGATCAACTTCCATTTAACTGGGGCTACAGCCCCGGGGCCTCCACAATAGAGACTTCGATTTTTTTTTTAAATTTCGTCAAGTAAACAATTTTTCTTTTAGTATATTTTTATATGTTTGTTAAATACTAAAAGAATCTACTTGGTTGCGCAATATATTACTTATTGATTGAAAAACTCGACTGAAAAAGATTGTTCATTTTATTTGGAAAATAATTTGGGGCCACAGGGCCTTCACTCCTTTGTTGCCCCGAGACCTCCAGACCGGCGCTGTATATTATAGTAATCATTCAATAAGTTGTTTTAGATTCTACTATGTAACTTGAAAGGTCGAAGCGGACTAACGCCTCTATTTTAACTACGTCAACAAATGCAATTGTAGTTTTTTTATGGAACAGGAGGCAAACGGGAAGCCGGCAGCAAGCTTATCTGATGTTAAGTGATACTAATGGACACTCTCAATGGCAAGTGCGCTGCCGGCCTCTTAGGAATTGGTACACTCTTTTCTTGAAGGACCCTAAGTCGAATTGGTTTGGAAATACTTCAGTAGGTAGCCGGTTCCACATTGTGCTGGTTCGTGGTAAAAAATAACGCTAAGTTGTGGAACAATCATTTTGAGTTTACGATCTTTAAGTTACGAAGACATTTATATTAAGTATACATGTTTTCAAAAAGTTCACATTACTTCTTAATTTCAATCATGACGTCATCGTTATCCGGCCATTCGACGCTTTCGTCACTTTGTGAGGAGTCCAGCTCTTCACCGTCACACGAGAATAAACTTGGCATAGTTCCGTATCGTTTTTCAATTAAATCCAAAGCCTGAGGGCATAACATAAGTTATTGTTAATTGTATTATAGAATTCTGCCTAGTGGTTAATTGTACGAAACATGAGGTCGTGTGTTTGAAGTCCGGCTGTGGACATCTTTTTATAAGCACCTCATGAACAGGAGATTAAGCTAAAGGAGAATATCGAGAAGAAACTGGCATGTGACAAATTTAAAAAATCAACAACGTAGTAATCAAATAAATTGATGCAATCTAAGGCCAAGCCTATAAAACCCTTTAACGGCAAAAACCGGCAATAGATAATAATTATTATAACATAGTCCTAAATATATTTTTTGTAGGTAACAGTAACCTGCAATTGTAATTCCACATTTTTATGTGTCATCATTTTAACGAACATTTCGTAGTCGTTAGCGGCCCATATCTGCTCAAATAGACGTTTGTGAAAGTACGTGGGAAGTCCCGCTAAATCACTCGCTGAGAGGCGACATGCCGCTTCAAATTGATCAGCCGAGATGCCGATGTCATCCATAAACGATCCAAGCATCACGTCCACCTGATAAGAGATAACATGAGTATGCATATAAAGGAAAATTTTTAAGATAAACCCTGTCTGGGTTTATCTTCTATCTATTATTGATTACGTAACAAAGTTTAAAAACTATTGTGATCTACTTAGCTCGGTTAGATGTAATAATGGCTTTGTAGATAGATTATTATAATATTTTAGAACTGGACACTCATACCAAGTTCCTATATTCATCGTGTATCTTCTTATAATCTGGCCTGTCAACAACTTCTCCATCATCCGAAGGTTCGAAAGCTTAAACATAATAAGATGATTGTAGCTTTACCCTTGAAAAGTGTAAATGTTTCAATATGTATAAAGAACACATACGCAAAGATTTTTCTTCAATAAATGTTTGTAAAGGAACATTCCACACGGGACCATGTAGAAAACCAACTAAAGAGTCAAAAACCCAGGCGTTATTGTCCATATTCATGACGACCAAACTTAAATAGATGTTGAGGCTGCTCTTATACCGAATATGAATGAGCCTTGTCAATATTTAGATTATTATTTGCATCTTAGTTACTATAGTAACGATGATAACTATATATTTATGTGAATTTTGTAAATTTGGTTATTGCTTTTCCATACTTGCTGTCGAAACAATATAATAAAAATTACTTTACTAATTTAATAAATTAATTGGGAATTAAATGGGATTATAAATGGTATTCGACATTAAATAGTATATAACTGATGGCCTAAAGGTCTAGATACCAGGCCATAAACTCCAAAAAAAAGTATATAACTGACGTCTGATAGTTGACAATTGCAACTGTCAATTGTCGACTTGAAAATCATTTAAGGTTCGCTTTTGACTTAATCGGAAAACTTGTATTATTGTTTACAAAATTTGAAAATAAGCTTGATAAAGAAATCGCATACAATATAATAAGATGTTTGCATGTTACAATTATATCGAACTACATATTTTATTATTGGCTTAGGTGGAAGTTTATAAACATTCAGGACCTCGAAAAATTCAGGTTTACAAGCTCTTATGTTCAATTCTAAATGGTGAATTTGGAAAACAGAATAAGGATTTCAGTTTTATAATATCAAAATCAACTTATAATTTAGAAATGACAGTCACCAAACAAATTATCGATTATGAAAATGTCAACGGCTTCAACATTACACTAAAAGTGGAAAAACGTAATATTAATCCAACATCTCAGCGCTATGTAATATCATACAAAAATAAGGAACAAAAGTCATCATTATGGTCGAAGAAGTCCCTTATATGTGCAATAATCTTCAATATTTTAGCCATGAGCTATATTCGTATAAGTTTTACAGCAACTTTGATTATTATTATTGTGATGTCATTCCTTATTTTTTTCTGGGTTACACACACTGTACAGTCAGGTAACTTATCATCAATTATTTATATGTAAACAAAAGTATATTTTTACAATACAATATGACATTCAAAAGTGGATTTATTTCATTCTACTTTAGTTTTTCTTCAAAATATAACTATAAATAACATTCAGAGTTCCAACTTTCTAAGTTTCTAATTATAACTCCCGTTTTTATAACACATTTGACTTATTCATTAATGAAATAATAAAATGTCGACTTTGAATCTTAATACTAAACCAATCTTAATATAAATTATATAATGAATATTTAAAATACTTAGAAATGATAAAACATTAATGTTTGCAAACTTATATTTAGTATACTAAATATCTCTTTATCTATGTACAAAATCATATGAAATTCATAAATTTTTTAACTATTTTGTTTCAGAAACACTTCTAGTTATTCCGACTGTGGGTATACAGACCTCAGTGAAGTATGTTGTAGGTAGAGAAGATAATTATGTTTCTTGGAATAACATTGATGATGTCATTATTAATGAAGTTATTAAATTTGTAAGTACATTGTGTATAGAAAAAACTCCTTACTACCAAATCTGCAGCTACCAAAATAAATCAGCTAGAGACACTTCCATCTGTTGTTAAGTAAACTTGACTTGTCTTGACTGAATCATTTTGTCTTGATAGAAAAATAATATTTTCAAATATTTCTATTTCAGAATAGAGTTCTTTACTTTCTCACAATTTTAGTAAAGAGTAATAACCAGGCAGATCAAATTAAGTTAATGCCATTATTTAAGGTATGTATTAAAAATACTATATTATTATTAATTAATTAAATTATTATATTTAAAACCTATTATTAAAATAAAAACGTTTTCTTTGCAGTACACAAAACCAAGGCTTATGATGCTGGAAGTAATTTATTCTGAAATACAATTATTATTACTAGACTCAAGGAAAGAAACCAATGAGTTTGGGGAAGGGCAAGGTTCTGGGGATAAATAGAGAAAAGTAGAACAATTGAACTTTGTAAAATAGTGTGAAATGTGTATTTAGAATAATGTTGCAGAATAGCTTAGTATTTGCAACATTTGTCATACATTGTTAGAAAAAAATTAACAAAGAGATGTTCTCAATTTTGTTTATTTATTTGTAATTAATAAACCAGACACTACTTGACTGATAAGTTTTGGATTAACAATTACAAATTGTATTTGTTATGAATTTTAGCAAATGTTTTGAATGAAGTATTAGGTTGAAATAATTATTATAAAATTAAATAATTAAATTTTTAGACTGTGTGAATATTCAGAATATATAATTTAATTGTAAAGTATTTGAGTGTTGTAAAATCAATATAGATATTACTGTTGTATTTTTTAAAAAGTAGAATGATAAATATAGAGAAAAAGATGTGGTAAATAAAAAAGCTTAGACATCTGTGGCCTGGTTTGCAGGTGAACTGTTATATGTTTATCAATGGTTTTTGTAAAGAAAAAATGGTGGTGTTTGTGAAAGTTACTATTTTCATTTGGTATTGTGATTAGTTTAGAATTTTTATTTGTGATAATAGGTTGGATTCAATTTCTTTTTGTTACTAAATATAACCGGAGCTTGGCTTATAGTTAATTTAGCTAGTACAGTCTATGCATAAAATATAGCTGTAATAAAATTTAATACAGATGCAAGCATTTATTCATTATTATTGCACAACAATATACAAATTTTCTTTAATACATATATCTTTGATTTCCTCTCAACATATACCTATTGTAATATACATATATTAATACTATAAGTAATTTACTCAGTGAAAACTTTTTTTACATGATTTAATGTGAGGTCGTTTATAATTCGCGATGTTTTTTAAAATATACCTACAATGTTTGCTGTAATTTATAAAAATTTTATATTTAATAGCGTTTAATAAGTATATTTATATAGGAAATTTTAACAGGATATAAACGCGAAATTATTACATAACATTAACATAACTCGACATTTCAATATTATTAACATTAATCTTGTTGGCCACGATTTCTGAAAAGGACTCAAAACGTCAACCTTTTATTTATTTCGTAATCCTACAGCTAACAGAAAAATATATATAAAAACAAAAAATTACATTAAGAATATAGCCGAAGATTGAATACATAATATTTACAAAAAGGTTTAAACATTTACAAAAGGGAAAAAACAATAAAAAAAGGGTGCGTGTACTAATATACGCGCGTAAGAAGTTATACTTCTTTGGCATTATTAAAAATAGTTTTTGATTGCATGCAAATAATTAATTACAATTAAATAATCAAAGACTGGAAAAGGGGTCATTATGGACAATAAAGTTCAGTTTACATTTGAAAAATTAAATAAATAAATATTTATTATTATTCTCTTACATTAAGTGTAACATAAATTCTATTATTATTCGAATGGTGTTTTTAAATTATTTCCAATGCCGTAGCATCTTCCGTGGGCAACTTCATTCTGTTAATTTTGTGTCACGGTGCGCGCGCATCGTAAAATTTCACTCTCATCAATTTTTCATAACGCGCCTGAAGACTTGACTGAACTTCAAAAATATTCAATACATCCAACTAAGTTATACCTAATTTGTCTGTGATGTGTGATGGTGTAAAGGTATGTACGTGAAGGTGTGTATATAGGGTATGCTCATGATGCAGGTGACTTTGCGCTATGTATATATATTCTTAATACTCAACAATATTCCGCGATAGCTTAAAAAGTCAAGGCTTAGATATTGGTTGTTGTATGTCGGGCCTGCGCGATACAAAACTTAGATTTTTGCATAGTTAGTGTTGTTAGTTCAATCAAAATAACTATCTAAAATAATAAAAAATAGGTGTTGATCGTAGAGTGATGAAAATTAGGGGATGAATGTATTGTTGTATGCTGTATCATACCAAAATAAACACAGAAAAAAAATATTGGGATGGACACCCCATATCACTTAGGGGTATGAAAGATAGATAGTAGCCGATTATCAGACTTACTGAATATGCATAAAACATTTCATAAGAATCGGTCGAACCGTTTCGGATGAGTATGGGTTTGTTACACGAGAATTTTATATATTCGATAAATTCGCCAAAACCAAGACTAATGTGGATGAAGCATAGATAAATGTGTCATACTCGTAAATAAAACAATATTTTATTCCATTTTACAATTGTTTAACAAACTGATACAAAACACTGATGCAGTTGCACACGGACTTTCTGCTAACAAAACAGCAATTCGGTGTTGGTATCCCAATTTGTTCTGAGCTTGTTTCGTTCCTGAATATTGCCAAAACACGGAACGCAGTTAGCGCTCCATTGCTTCCACGTAACGATATGTAGCTATTGAATGGTATATATCGTTTGTTATACTTGGTCCGATTATACGTGGAGCTAAACTATGTATAAAATTTAACAATTGGACCTGAAATAAAAAGTCTTTATTACGGTCGCAGGCGAATTGACTTTCATCGCATAAGATTTTAAAAACCATTTCAAATTATTTATTCGTGACTATAAAACGTCAAGTTTATTGTCACTAAACTTAAGTATAATGTAAACGAACGATCCATGTTTAAATCTCGTTGTACACGACTTTCCTAAACATTGGTCGAATCGTGTCAAAATTGCGGGAAGTTTCGTATATTATATAGTATTATTGTATAATTAATAATATAATTTTGTAGAGATACGTATACCGTATTACCGTCGGCTATATTCGAGATGTTCAGTCTCGTGAAGGCTGTTGTACATCATAAGCATCACTAATTGGCAGGCTTGGAGGATTATATCCTGTCGGAGGAGTATTATAATCTGCCAGAATATCCAAAAAAGTTAAGCTTTTTTTACATATTGAGGGTAAGTATTGATTGAATCAAATGTTTTAATGAAACGAATCTCCATCAAAGAAACCGTTCTAAAGTTTAGGTCTAAGTTAGACGTCTAAAAATCAAATGGATATCTTTTGTTTCCGTAATCGAATAGAAGTATTCAGTAAAGGCAAAATAAAGAATCTTGTAAAAAGTTAACATAAAACCCCTATAACAGGAATGTTTCCCAAGACCTTAGCGTATTCACTTTCCCTGCAAATAGGTAAAACTGACGGCATGATTATTTAATAACACGACAGCGTCCGGGGATGACAGATATTTCGAATAATAGAAGGGCCGATTTTATTAAGGAGGTTCCTGTTTGCATTGCAAAAAACTGTACCTATGAAAGGCTGATTGATTGCATTGTCTTCACGCACACAATCTATATGGTAATTTTGTAGCGCGTTTTTTGGGTCCCATCCTTATTATGGTAATCTAGGTCAACTGTAATATCCGGTGGGAAAGCTCAAGATAAGAGTATTTTTTATAAGATAGGATTATGATCCGTGAAGGAGGTTAATTAGTAAGAGCTCACGGAAAATTAAAGATGTTTTTAATAATGTGCTATACTAAATCTTACCTGTTCAAGCGTTTTGCAGTAGGTACCTACATAGAATCTATATTTGTAAAAATTAATGATTTCCCTTGGTCACGGCATCACGCGTGAACGGCTGAAGCGATTTCGGCAATTTTTGTTGTGTTTGTTATCATCAGGAAGGAAGGTTTTTATGAAAGAAAAAAATTAGAAAATTGCGCGAAAAATTAGATTTAAGAAGCCTTAAACACCACACAATTCAAACTTTTTTAATGTGACCTTATGGCGTTTGACATAACATAGACAGAATGCGTGCTGCAAATATCGTCAAAGAGCATGTAAGAAAAATTAATATCGTTTAAAACAAATGCTTCGATCGGAGTTATTATATTGATAAAATACATATAAAATAATTAATTCTAACAAAAAATGAATTTCTTAGTGCACATAGTTAAAAAATAAATATTACGCAAAAATCTAGCAGATTTACATTGAAATATACTCTAGCTACATACTAATCCTACGGGTATATAACCTCTTATCCTCCTTCACCTTCATTTCAACAAAGTTTGTCGTGAATGTGCGAAAAGTGGAAATTAAAGTCCACGAAAATCATTACCTTGCCAACAACAGACTCCAGTTACAATCAGAAATAAAGACATGTTACAAAGTTTTTCGCTAAGCAAACTTTCTTCCCTTGGGTTATTACTTTGACAGTTTGCTTAAGGTTACCCCACGGAAAAATACCTGGATTACTGAGTGTTTTTCATGATCATAAAAGGTCCCTTCGGAAATAAAATAAAATGCAAGACAGGTGATATTAGAATTTATATCACACGGCAATAATTGGGAGATTCTAAGTGATATTATAGATTTTCTTTAAACAAAAATGCTAAATGTTTAATTACAAGTAGATGAATGCATAAAAATTCCTTATCACTGGTACGAACAGATTAACATTTTTTAGCCTGCACGATGCAACGCCAAATGTACTATTGCAATACAAAATTTTTAACAAGACACGCGCTGTTAATAAATTAAAAACAATATTTCACGCTGTAACTTGGTATGAACTTTAAATTTCATATTTTTTTAAATAAGCGGAATAAAAGTTATACTCGTCTGCAGTGCGGTTGGCCCGAGGGAAATCACTAGCTTTAGTAATTATATGTTTTGTCTCCTAGGCAATTCTTTTGATGCGTCATCACCATACTAAACAATAAAATGTTCCCACTTTGTAAATATTTTAATTCTTTAACTCTTGAAAATATTTTCTTTTCACTCAAGTTTTTAAAAATATTTCTCTATTATATTCAGTGTATTTTTCTTTAGAATTTTATAATTTAGCTGTATGTGAATTGAAAATTAAAACAGATATACAAAATTATTATTTATTTAGCTATATCAACATTTAAAAGGACTATAAAATTTTAGAAGCCTGTCTGAATGAAATACCTGAAAGGAAATTGGAATCTATTGCAATGTATTGTTATTTTTCTCTGGCATCAAAGTAGACCGGCGGGATGGTGAAAACTTAAACTGCGCAGGTTGCGTTTTTGCTGTTTCAACTCCGTTAGCATATTTGAATTGCATATTGCCCGTGTTCATTCTATTCGAGGCAGATGATATTATCGATGCCATGACGTATGAAGGGTGAGGCAAATCCGGAATTTGTGGTTCAGCTTTTTTGGTGTTAAAGTCACTGACGTTGGTTTCCAAAGTATCGTTGGACAAGACACTAGAATTTGTTGTGAATGAACTGTTGAAGCTATCATCCTGATAATATGAGAAACGGAGATGTGAATAGTCGTCAATGAATTCTCCAGGCGGTAAAGTTTCATTTGTTTCAGTACTTTTCGAATCCATGGTTATCTGAACAATTGTAACGTTACGACACTGTAGATTATACTGACATTAGACAACTAACGTTTTTCTATTTAGTTTAAAAGTACCCTCAAACGTTAAGAAAAATAAAAATTCCCTCGTACGGTAGTTTTAAATAATTTATGTGCAGATGTGACGACTGATAATCCCATTTTAAGATGAGTTGTGGGTAGTTTTTAATTTTTTATTATATGTTAATACAAAATAGCAACTGGATCATAATTCCCATTAAGTCTTAATTTAGACATTGAAGATGAAGCTTTTAATTATTGAGCCCATCTAGCTAAGGCATCCTTCCCAGATGACTTCGAAGATTTGTAGAAACTTAACTTACTTAAACTTTTTGAAAGACAAATACTTATTTGGGTATTGAAGAGTACCAAAATAACTTGCTCGATTTAGGTTTTTTTACTTTCTTAAAGTGATGATTTTATACAGGTCGTTGACATTTTAGAAGATGTCAATTTTAGTGTCGTGAGTATCACTCGCTGGATTTCATCCATATAAATTGCCAATATTGCCGTCCATATAAGTGCAAATAGCCAATATTATTGCCAAAGTTTCTCAAATACTCCATTAAAAATTTAAGCATTACTGTAGTAGTAGTAAGTACTAAAAACCAATTTATCTAACTGAAACCCATCCCGCTTAGGGGTTTAAGTAGAAACCTACTTTATAGTAAGCTGATCATTACTTCCAAAAATTCCAAATTAATTATTCTTAAAAAGAAAAAAAAATCTCTCATTTTTTTCTGAGATCATTGCTATTTTGTGTGTTTATGTGTGTGTGTTTGTTAGTAATAATGTTATGTCTATTGTCTATGTCTATGTTTATGTCAATCTGTTTCCTTACGGTAAACTTCTGTAGGACCTCGCCTTGATTGATATGCGGGATATAAAAAATAATAAAATTTATTTCTATATGAAAACCATAAACTTATTCTTGTTATACATTAATCTAGATAATATCTCCAAGAATTATTATATTTTCAAGAATTATTATATTTACAAGAATTATTATATCTCCAAGTATTATTATATTTACAAGAATTATTATATAATTGACAAGGGACACTACACTACACTACATTTTTTATTTGATTAAAAATCGTATACTTATAAAAATCGTGTAGTAAAACACACTTAGTTTTTAATTTCTCTCTTAAAACATTATTCCTTTTTACCTGCCTGTTAGTCACATTGACAGCAACATGAATATATATTTATTAATTACAAAAAACATCGGGTTCGTACTAATAATTGAACTAAATAATCTACGAATTGGATAAGTTTAGGAAAGTCGAGTGTTTGAGAATTGAGAAATGAAAGAAGCATTATCCAGAAGACTTTAGAGTAGGTTAGTGTTGACTTCATCGCAGAAAAGGATTTTATTTAAATGGTAGAAAACTGTTAAATACGCCCGAGAATTCATTGGTTAGTTACTGGTTTAGAATCTTATATTATAATATATAATTTGTTAATCGAATTCCACAGTTAATATGTGTATAAGTGACATTATTTTTGTTTAGTTAAAGCTACATTCAAACTGTAATTTCACACATCACTAGAACAAACTATACATACCTACAAAATGTTACGATCGTGTATGAACATCAAATCCTTTGCAATAACCTTCGTAAACCAAAACAGAGAATAATTAAATAAATGTTCTTTTAAAGATAAGTCTAGATAGATACCTTTTAAAGGTAAAGGAGTTTTTTTATTTCAACTACTAATTCGATTGGAAAAAATATCTTTGTTTAGTCTATTTTAAGGGAAAAGATAAGACCCTTTATTGTTTCTCGAAGATCGCTGATTGCGTATTATGTAGGATTTCATTTGTGATTTATTTTATAAAAAAAGTTTTGTAATAAACATTAACACGGTATATATTACAAAAAAAAATTGTGTAATAAAAAAAATTCTTAGGTCTGGCCTCAGATTTCTGTATCGGTTTCATGATAATTTATCAATCTAATAGGCAATTATCAGTATTTTTGGGTCTAAGGCGAGCCGGTTTCCTCACGGTGTTTTCCTTCACCGTTTGAGCGAATGTTATACGCACAAAGACAGAAAGTCCATTGGTTCACATCCGGGGATCGCACGCCGAAGCCACTAGGCCAACACTAAACACTATAAATTAAAATACAGACGCATTTTGGGCATGTTCACTATATAATGAAAATAAAACATATATCAAATCATTGTTAAAAAGGTATAGTTGATATTTATAAACAACACAACAATTGTTATTTAGATGATATCATAGTAAAACATTTATTAGATTTATACAAGACAAATACTTCGGCGTTTCGATTGTTTTAGAGCATTCTGAGTTCTCACTTTGTAGCTGCATCACGTTATAAGATGAAATACACAGTACTGTTCATAGTTTCTTGTTATATCGGACTCACTCACGAATATATCGCACCCCAGGGACTTACAAAGGTGAGTTGTTTGAATAATATAAAGTGTTACATAAATTGGGTTATAGTATGCAATATTCTGCAAATACTAGAAAAGTTATGGTCGCTTTATAGTGACGGTAATAAATTAAACTGAATTGCCATGTAAATTATGACTTTCATTTTCTTGAGATGATAAAATTGCGAGTGCAATGAAATGCACTAAGATTTAAAAATGTTTTGAACTGAACATATAATTTAAATATTTTATATTTCAGAATGGTAATTCTAAGCTGCAGCCTACGCATAATTCTACTCTGTCAAATATTTTAAATACTACGAAACCAAAAGGTTTCCAAAAAATCAATACATCTTCGAATTTTCTTCAAAATGCATTCGAAAGAGATTTATATGCTTCATCCCAGCCAAAACTTAGTGAAATAAATGAAAGAGCATTCATTTATATGAAAAGTATTAAACCTATTCATAATAAACTATATTTGTCTCAAATTCGCAACGATGCCAAAGATGGCCGTCATAACATTCACGAAGATAAGTTGTATGGAGATTTACGAGACAAATTAGTAGCAGATCAAAAGAAAATAGAATGCGCTCAGCTTAAAGAAGAAGACGATACAAATTCTCTGATTGGGTTTGACTGTGAACCCCACAGGATGGGAACAAAAGCCAGCTTAAAAAGTGATTTGAATAAAAGGGATTTCTTGGAACTCCTCAAAATGCCACTGGTAAGACTGGTCTCAAAGAACTCGGAAGATCAAAGGAAAAGTCACAAATTAAACACTAAAATTAATAGTAAAGATACAAAAGCCCACAAAGGTCTACCATTTGATCTACAAAATAAATTGAACGATGAAAGTAGACTTAGTGCCTCAGGTGAAGTAGAAAAGCTTTTGGACCAATTTGTAAATGTGTCATACGAGAAGACTAATCAAAAACAGAAAACTGCTAATACAGGAAACCCTGATTGTCATATACAAGAAACACACAGAAATATGTGTAAATGTAAAATGGGTTCATTTGATAATGAAAATACGTTTTATATTAACGATGACATTATTTAAAATGCAAATATTGTTGCAAATTGTTTGATTCGATCAAAATGTTTACCGTAGTTTTATATAAGATCTTTGGTATTGGTTTTTAAGAGTTTTTAAAAACCATAATATGTCCACTATTAGTTTCTTTGTTTTTTTCCTTTCCAACCGACTCTAGTCCCCGAAGACAAAACACAGAAACTGGTTTGTAGCAACAACTTGCTTCACCAGAGCATTCAAAGTAAAAATACTGAGAAATAAGCAATCTTGTGTCACCCTTATTTAACCTGGCACACTTACGTTTTGCTACGCAGCAAGGTTTTTTAGCATGATCGCGATACGAGAGCACAAAGTTATCACAAGTGAGATCTCTGCGCGCGCAGCCAAGTCTACACGGAAGAAATGAAATGCAAACACTGAAGAATGCCAACACATGTCCAGATAGTCAACTCTTCAAAGAAATAGAATGTCCAGAGACTATTTCGTTATATTAAATAGGGTATTTGCATTTCCGTTGCCGTTCGATTTTTGAAAGCTTATTAAATATGTATGTGTATTGTGTATCCTGTCCCTTGCAGATTTAAATTTGTATAGCTTTTATTTCGAAAACTAACAATGTTTAATATAAATTTATGCAATATGGAAGAGTAGTGCAACTTTTGCCAATTTTATTCTGTTCAAAATAAAAGCTTATATCTGTCTTGACTCATTGTCTATATGAGCTTACATACAGCTATAAGCTTTTACGACCAAAACTAACATTTGGATTTTTGAAAAGATTTTAGACATAACATTAATTACTATTATTATTGTGTGTTCTGGTTGTAATTGGCCATGGCTCAGCATTATGCTGAGAAGCAGAAAGTTCCACAGCACTGGCCATTCTGCCAGAAACCACAATAGTTACTTTGCCCCTCGAACGCTAAAATTGAAAAATAATGTAATAATAGTAGAAAAAATAATTATAGTAAAAATTAACCGTGTAAGTAAAAAGTCTTTTTGGAATATTTATGTGTAAAAGTATAAAGTAAATAAAAATAAGAATAATTGTTACTATAACTACTATAAGAAATAGAAAAGTAAATATTTTTGCTTGCTTGTTCATGTTAATGGAGATAAAAAGATAAATATTTTTTAAAACTATTTCAGAGTATTTATTAGTCACTATAGAACCTACACAAAACGTTTTTTTAAAATCTTGTTAAGTATGCCTTTAAAAATCATAAATAAATTCAAGTCTCGGCCAAAACGCAACTCTAGGCAAAATGTTTTCGAACCTACGACGTAAAAACGTAAACCATTAACCAACGTTAAGTTTTTTTCATACCATTTGCATTAAGATTAATTTAACCTCTGTGACAAGACAAAGCATATTATTTATAAGCATGCTACGGAATCGTCGATTCGAGTAATCTGTGTTTGCATTAATTTCGAGTTGAAAATATTTTCAATTTTTGAACAGTTTCCCAAGTTTTACGGCATCGAAAAGCGTCGCTCAAAATCTCGGGATGTGCATATTTTATTTCTTCTGGAGTTTTGTTGAAGACTTCGCTAAGTTTCCTTCTGCGCGCGAAATCCTATTTAATTATGTAGATGCGGATGATCGTGCTCGTTTACTTATTTTATGAGGGTATAAACGACCCCCTCGAGTTTGACACTGCCTTATTTATAATGCAACTAAATCAGTACTTTAAGCGATTTTCTTTAAACCTATGCTTATGGGTATTAGTAATATATTGGTAGCAATTTACACAAGTAATTTTTTGCTGTAAAACATTTAATTGGAAATAATTTACGCCTGATATTTTGTAATGAGCAATTTTGAGTACTTTGACGGATCAATAGGATATTATAGCTTATATTAGCTACTCACTTGCTTTGTATTTTTTTTAGTTTAGTATTAAATAAAAACAATTGACTCTACAAAATGTGTAATGTATATAGATTCTTTATTTTTATTATTCAAAGTCAAACAAACACGTCTGTCATTGCGATCACAGGATGGTTTGCAACCAACCAAAAAAAAATATATATATATTAAAATATATATTATTAAAATATATAGGGATTTCTTCATATATTTTAAAATTAAACAGAACCAAAAAAGCACAGCATAAGAGAGGTACGACTGGAAGGAAAAAGGGATGGAGTTTTTCGACTTTATAACATATTTATGTCTATATAAATATACATGTTGTATTAATTCATAAATCACAATGAAGATTATCTACTTTGACAAAATATGCTGATTATTTAAGAAAGTCTGGCATCTGCATAATTTATATATCTTTATGTTACCTTAGTCACATTTAGTCAAGTCATTATGAATCACGATAAAGGTAAAGGGTTAATAAACTGTCAATTTCAGGTATATCTAGGATAACGTATTGATTGGTAATTGGAAACCTCGTAGGAGTAAGAAAATATATTAGGAGGAAAATAAGATATTTTTTTGCAATATATTACTTTTCTTTTATATGCAATAGTGTAAGCTTAGTGGTTAATTGTGCGATTTTAGCCCTGTAATCATAAGTTCGAAAGGTATTTGTGGATTTTTCGTGAAATTTTTTCATACATTGTGTCTTCACTGAGACATCATTGTATCATAATTTAAGACAAGTAATTTAAATCTAACCTAATTTACTAATAAGGGTATTTAACATGAGAAATTTTCCAATGGTCATACTCAAAGTCTCCATTTAGGGACAGACACTCTACTAAGCGACTATTAAGCAAACACTTATTCACTAATAGAAATGGTTTTTTCGTTTTTAATCTTCTCACTAAGGCCGTGGTGATAAAAAGAATAGTCTCGACATTTTCTCTCTCGTGGGGTTAAATTAAATATCGTATGGAAACTTACAAATCGACGACTTGTGTCAGACATAAAAGTTGATGTGTTCATAAGTGTACTTGTTTACCTATATGAGTAAAGTTATTTTGAGTTTAAGTTTGAGTAAAACGCCTGTTAACCAACTTATGAAAATAATTAATTATGCAGCAATCTTATAATTAGATTATCATTGTTATTCTAAGCATACATCAATGAACAAGCTATGTTATTGAATATTAACGCTAGCAAATTAATATTTATTATAGACAGTATATTTCAGTGGAAGTTAAAGGCAGTTAATCCGTTTATAAATCATTAAATATAGTGTAGTTATGTAGACAGCAAGGCATTTTAAGTTTATATATTATTAATAAAGGCCATAATAAAAACAGGCGTCTGTCGGCGACTTTAAAGCTTTGCATAAGACGTTCTTTGTCTTTCGCTATTTTGCGCTTTAAATATTAAGTTTAGATATAAAAAGTGGGTGTGAAAAGAAAATAAGTTTATGTTATTGCTGAAACTGACACCAGCCACTTACTCTAGATGTAATTGACGTAGATTTATAACAAAAAAATGTGCTACAACTCTTTGTATTAGCCTTTATAGGTAAGTTGATCATCCCAATAAATTTTATGTGCCTGAGCACGTGTTGGTTTTATAGAATAGTTTCCTCGCGATTCATTTATTTGTGGAATACATTGTGCAAATAGAAAAATGTGATTTCAACTCACGACCATAGATTAAACGCGTTTTAAGCTCTAGACTAAAATGATGAATGATGAAGCAGAGTTCTGGGACCTAAAATAGAAATTTGAATCATAAATAGAATTACCGTAGTCTTACACATTTTTATTACACTTTAAAATTACATGAATAACTGATATTTCGATACAGAAATCGTAAATCCAAATATATTTAAAAATTTGTTTATCTATACGCGTATACACTTGAAAAACCTAATTCCCTTTTCAAGTGTGTATAAAAATAATATTTCATCTCACACCTGATAAGCCGATGACGGAAAGGTTTTATCTTACTGTTATTGATACGGTCCAGTCCACCTGTCAGACCCTATTCATGGCCGAGACACGTGGAACAAAAGGGATTGCTGTTTCTAAGTAGTTCCGACGTCATTGCCAATGTATGAACAAATTTACTATTGCCATGACGCCGGCACCTTTTATCGTTAGTAAGCGACTCTATAATTTGTACAGATCTGATAAGTGAGAACTTTGGATTTTTTTTAATGATTGGACAATTCACACCTAGTGGGACTAGACACTGCTAAGCTGGTAAGCTTGTTATGGGTACTAGGCAACGGATATACGTACATATTATATATAGATAGACATATAAATATACGTACATATTAAAACACCCAAGACCTAAGCACAACACCAAATGCTCATCACATCGATGTTTGTCTCAGCCGGGGATCGAACCCGGGACCCATGGATTCGCAGTCAGGGGTAACCACTAGACCAATGAGCCGTCTATTTATATGTATACTTATATATGAGAGGAAAGATTTATAAAGTGTACTTGTAATTAATACATTCAGAAACCATTGCATCTACAGCTACGTTGTCCCCGAGTAGCATAGGTTATATTTAATTGTTGCTTTTTGCCTTTATGTTTATTAACTGTGACTATCTATTTTTTATTTATTTCACCATGTCTCCTGCTGATAGAGGACAAATTTTTGTTTTCAATTTATTTGATTATTATTTATTACTTAAGATGTCATGTGGAACATGGTGTAATGGTTGCAGCTCCTTACAAACGTTGTGTAAAACCAAAAAAATTGGCGATTAAAAAGAGTGGCGGATAGTTTATTGCCAGTTCTCCTCTTCCGAAGATTTCTATTCATTTAATGTATATTTCTTTTTTGACGTTCGTAAGTGTACATTGTGTTACCTACATGAAATAAATGATTATTTTTTGTTATTAGGTGTAAGAGCTTGGTTGTTTGAAATAGAGTCTTCATTCATTGATTCAAAATTAAAATAATAATAAGGTATTTTATTGAAAATATATTACGTACAGACCAGACCAGAAGCTTCCTTACTTAGCGATGAATTATCGTTCTATAATCTCTTTAATATTTTTACGTCTGATTGCTCAAGTATATAAATGATAAACTACATGACTTGTGTGTATGACTAATATCTGATTGACAGGTATTATCGAGATAATATAAGATTAGGTTATTGGAATCCCGTGAACGTTGCTACCAGAACACGAAGACTTGTAGATTTTTAAGGATTTTATGATGCAATTTTGTATTATTATATAACAAAACCACTTTCAACAATACCATAACATTAAAGTATTTTAATAGTTGATGTCCCGCCTCAGTTTATAAACCAGGGTTTCAGCTTTAGCCGAAACAATGGTTGACTTAATTTTTTTTAGCGAATTGGACGCAACCATCTTTACTATGCCCCATTTGTATCGACACTTATAGAATGTTATATCATTTAAGGTAAATTGTTTTTCGTTAGCTTAATATAATTGTCGCTAATAATATAATTTTATCTAAAACAGATTTACATTTTAACAAAACAATCAAAATTCGCGTGTTACCTTAACTTGTATTTGCATGTAATCTACATGAGTTCTCAAAGTTATCTAAAGATTTGCAGTTTCCACTTCAGATCCACGTGATAGCATTATCTAAATTTTACCTATAAATGTTGCAAAAATTTTGATTCTGTACTTAGTTTTCAACATGAAGGCAGCAGTAGTTCTCTTGAGCCTTGTGTGCCTCGGGTGGGCAGCACCCCAGATGAGGAAGCCTTTCCACGAGCATTTCTCAGACTTCATTACTATTATCGATGATGAAGCTGGCGATGAGAGGGACCATTTAACTGAACACTACTTGGAGTTTGAGGAATTCACAGCGACTATCGATTATATGGCCGGAAAGGACTTTAAAGGGCTAGTCAAAGAGATGGAAGAGCTTCCAGAGTTCAAGGCCGTGAGTATTTTAATTGAAATTTGTTGGAAATGTCACCTTTTCCATAAAGTCAGTCACACGGGTCTTTCATCATAGCCTAAACACAACTTGTATGATAGAGACGAAAGGCAACTTAAACAGTGATTGACAACGACTAATTGCAATAGAATAAGATGGCACTAATCGCACAAAAACTTTTTTAAAAATTGTACCAAGTACTTGTCCTTTAGGCTTTCATAGATTGTTTCACTACGCTTGCTACGAAAAATGTTTAGTTAATTCAGCATGGAATTATCATAATCAATTTTTAGATATTTATGGCGGATTATCAGAAATGAGAAACATAATACTTAATTTTATTTCTAGGTTATTGAATTTTTGGAGGGCCACGAAATCGACATCACTTACTACATTGACTTATTGGATAGCTTCATCGGTAAGTACATTTTTAGAATATTATTTGATAATATGTATAACTAAACTAATATAATTAAACTTTTAAAACTTTCAATGTTTTATTATACATTATATATATCCCACTTCTACTTTCTATATTTTCTTGTTAAAAAGTAATACTTTAATACATATATGTTTAGAAATTATTATTCTTAATTATTAAGATTTTAATACCAATCTCTCACAGATCAGCTCAGCTCCGGCCAAAAGCGCCACGAGCTAAGCGGTAGAGACATGAGCGCTTACATCAAAGATACCATCGCCATTTTACCCAAGGAGAAGTTGGATGCACTTTATGATGAGAAGATCGAAAACGACGAAGAGTTCAAGAGGGCCATGGACAGCCTCCAGAGCGACGAATGGAAGGAAATATGGGACGCTCTCTGGGAAAACGAGACCTTTAAGGCCGAAGCAGACGAGCTCTCCAAAAATGGTATTGACCTCCAGATGCTTCTTAGCGAACTTGTTGCCATCTTCGGACAAAACTAAGTCATATCTCTGTATGTAAATAAATAATTGTGGATAATATTTTCTTTTATTGTCATATCAATCAATATATATTGACCACCACTATGTGGAACCAGCTGCCCACTGAAGTATTTCCGAACCAATTCGGGTCATTCAAGAAAAGAGCGTACCAATTCTTAAAAGGCCGGCAGCGCGTTTGCGAGCCACAGCGTGCGTGGTCACGGTGACTGAAGACAAAAGGTGTTGAATGTCAAAAAGTATCACAGCTGTAGAAAAAGTTGTATTATCTGTATTTATTTCCCCGGAGTTGGTAACGACTAAAAGATGGAGGGTTTTGGCAGAAATGGCTCAAACAAAACAATATGTTGAACCACGAATTGACTGTCACTCAACCGAATATTTTGGCAAATTCCACTCATTACTATTTGACAATCCATTGTTTTCTGTGCAAATGAGTGTAAAAAAATTAACAAAAATGTCTAAAAATCAAAACATTAAAAACGTTCAACTTGCATAAGAATTCAGAAACATCAGGCAAACTAAATAAAGCACGCTCGGTGAGATATTTCGCGCAGTAATGAAATATTTTATTGCACCGCATAACAAAAGCTGCGAGGAATTTCAACTAAGACCTTTACACAACAATGTACTCAGATTTTTACTAATCCACAAATATTCTCGCGGTTTTATTTCTACACATGTGACTTGTGTTAACATTGCATTCATATCACTTGTATCTTGTGTAATGTAATCGAATACCTACCGAATATTTGTTGCAAGTCTAATTATATAGGTATTTTCGCTTAAGCGAGCATTATATTCACTCAATCAATTACAGGAGGGATACCGCCTGAGTTGGCAATAATTTAATTTGATCGTACCTTATGATATGTGTACAAATAGGCCTCTGGACTATACAGCGGGAAACAGTGTTCTATGTATAACTTTTCGGCTCTATATTATCAATTCCAATAGTCTATGCTCTTTTTGACGAGTTAACTAATCTGTTTCGAATAAAAATATATAGTCAACTACAGATATTATTGAATCACGCGAGTATTTATATGTGTACATGCGAATTTATTACATTATTTGGATAACTCGTGTCAGTTTCCGTAATCCATTTGTTAATAGGTTAAAAGGTAACTTACTGAATAAGTTTTGTAAATATCCAGCTAAATAATGCAAATACCAATCAATACAACAACATTACATATAATCTAATTATAATTTCATATAGTTGTTAATAGATTAGCAAAAAGAAATATGTCAACTTGACGAGCAGTATTTGGATGACCAAGATTGCTAACCAGGTAGGTCACAAGTTCAAGAGGATGTATAATTTCTAATATCATGATTATGAAGTGCTATTGGAATTCACCGCTGAGTCTAATGAAACAATTAGGAGAATAATATTAACATAATCTTAACCAATCCAATATATCTACATAATGTACTACGAGTATATGAAGTGCACATACCATTAATAGATAATTCGCTATTCATAATTTGGAAACATTTTCTGTTTTTCTACTAGATATGAGCTACTCCTCAATGTTTATTAATTAAAGCTATGCGTGTATATTTTGTTATTGAAATTATACTTCTTTTGGCACGTTAGGGAAAAATTATGAGATAAATTTTATTTTCTATTGTTAGTGTCGTTTTTTGTACAAACATAGAATAAAGCGAAAGAAAAAAAAAATTTGAAAAGATTTTTATCTTGTTATGCCAAAGAAGTATAAATTCTAACGCGTGTAAATACACACGTTTTTTATTATTATATTGCCAGCATGCAGAAAGAAGTATTCTCGGAAAATACGCGACAAACGGAAAAGTGAATGTATTTACGTACAACTTAAATGGAGATGGGCAGGGCACGTGGCCCGTTATACAGATGACAGATGGTCTAAAACAGTAACCGAATGGACTGGTCCAAAAGGAAAAAGGAACAAGGGCAGACTAATAGAGCGATGGGCCGGGGTATTAAAAGGGAAAGAAAAAATTGGATGACGATGGTAAGAAATAAAATAGGGTGGAAAAAGTTAGAGAAGGCTTTCTCCCGGCCAGGGGCCGCAACTTAGAATAGTTTACCTATATTTAGGTACAGTCAAAATCTGTTAAATCGACATCGAAGGGACTACTCATATTTGGTCGTAAAAACCGATAGTCGTAACAGCCGATGACGTTGTTATTAAGTACCTAATACAATAGAATTCAGCCGGGACCTTTGATTTTGGTCAATATAACCGGTATGTTGTTCTAAACAACGTCGTCGTAAACGGTTGACGTATTTTTGTAAAGTGTATGTTAATAAGATGTGGAAGAATAAAGGCTTTATTATTATTATATTGGAGATAATAAATAATGAGAAAATATTTTGTTAAATAATAAAATATAACACTTTTATGTCTAACAAAGTTATGAATTAAGTATATAATATATATACGCTATATACACATTTTTTGTATTTTATGAATTTTTAAGGTATCAATATTTATTGTAAATTGCGGCCTAAATTAAGCCAATCATGAGATTTTTCTGCACCAAGACTTATTTTTCAATAAATATTGCAGAATAAATTAGTGTTTTATAGACTAGGAAAACGGTTGTTTAAATTATAAGTGCAATATCAGGTGCGATGGCTGAGAGCGAGGTAAGTAAATAGAGGCGGGCAATGTATCACAGTAACAGTTTTCCGATAAGAAGTGGGCTCTCGGCCTCTCCACCCGATATAGTTGAACTCTGTTTTATTGTGCTATTTTCATTCTATCGCAAGTGAACGCAGCTCAGGCGGAAACTCAGATAAAGTCGCGGCCCCGCGTAATATACAGCCCGGCATAAAGTGGTATTTGGACTGACTGGAAAGAATTACGATGTGGCTATTTAATTAGAGGTTAATTTAGCTCAAGGTTCTACTTTTTTAAAATCAACTGAAACATTTTAAGATTATTGTGTTTGACAATGGCCCGTTTGAAAATATCTAGTCAAATCGCGAAGGTATTTAAAGGTTTTTTAAAAAGGAAAACTTTATTAACTAATTACACTTAGTATTCTTAACTAATAGTCGATGTTAGACTCTAATTCTAAGGTGGTCGATGTTAGACCCTAATCCTAAGGTGGTCGATGCAAGACCCTATCACTATGGTGGTCGATATTAGACTGGCTTTAATATAATTATATTCTTACAGCTAAAAACCCTTACATGATTACTAAGCATTCGTGGTACATGATAGAATAATAAAACTATGCATTCATTGTAGTGATTGCATTAACGCTTATGGTGCGTTCTGGGTATATGTGTGACATTGTAACTATCTTCCAAACACTCTAGTAAGATAATTCTTTTAATAACAAAAGTAATTATCAAATTAATGTTTAAATCTAAAATGTAATTGCAATTGCAAAAGTAATTGCAATGATAGAAGACAAATCGTTGTTTTTTTTCGTTTATATGTTTTTTTATTAATTACTTAAGATGTCATGTGGAACATGGTGTAATGGTTGCAGCTCCTCACAAACATTTTGTTAAACAAAAAACTTGGCGATTAAAGAGTGCCGGAGAGTTTATTGCCAGTTATTCTCGTCCGTTCTACGACCTTGATTTGAGAACAGGACATGTAATATTAGAAGCATTTAATATGTATTTCTTTATCGACGTTCATAAGTGTACATTGTGTTACCTAAAGGATTAAATGATTTAAATTTGAATTTCAATAAAGCACTTGTTATATAAACTTCAAGAAAAGAGCTTACCAATTCTTAGAAAGCCGACATCACTCTTGCGAGCCTTCTGGCATTGACAGTGTCCATGGGCACTCACTTAACATCATGTGAGCCTCCTGCCCGTTTGCCCCCTGTTATATAAAAAAATAAAATACCATAGTTTTGTATTAAATAATTCAATGAAACCTTTCATTTCTGAAAACGTTCAGAAGCTGCAGTTTTTGCCAACACTCGCTCAACATTCGCGTATAGACAAGATATAATATGAATTTTCTAAAACTAATAGTACAGTGAAAACAATCTGAAACTACGTCATCAAATTTGTTTTTTGACCTCTAAGTATAAGTTCACATTGTCTGTTATACCAATATAGTCGTGATAAGAAATGAAATAAGGATAAAGAAATGTAACAATAGTAAAAGATCCTTTTATCTTGGCTTCAAATAGTTTCATTTTGTTGTATGAGCTACGGAGTATGTACTGAGTATTGTATATATAGTAGTATTCCAGGTAAAGTATTGTATACAAAATGTTCCTAACGTCGTATTTATTTAAAAAATTATTGGCTTCTGCATTTGAAATAAAAATAAGTATACTAATTTTAATCGCAATATATGTATGATTTATACTTAAAATAAATACATAAAATTGCCAACGAGAAACGTATAAAAACCAGTAATTCACCCAATTCTAAATAGACATATATATGTTCGAGTTTATCTACTTAGCAATTGTTACTACATACTTATACACATAACAGTACTAGAACAACCCAACAAAGAGTTGATACGCCATAATCCTAGTGCGTACCTGAATAAGCTTACCGTCAAAAGAGTCACAGGAGCATTGGTAAATTTTATTTGCATTGGGTCTCTTTCACCCGTTTGTGAGATCATACCATCTGGAAGTGAGGAGGGTTGATGTCAAGCCTAACAAGGGTCGATGTATAGACACGACTCCTTATTTCCAAGACAGTGCTCGGGTTACGGGACATGACTTCGGGAAAGCCTCGATGTCGTAGGAATTTGATAATTCAAATTTCGAACGTTTAAGCACCTATTTATCAATCGTACTGAATACAATGCGATAGATATTTAAATTATTTTGATATAATACGACTGTTTTTTTGCTTAACTTTTGTTTTAGTATGAATTTCATCGTTATTATCGTTTAATTGCCTAAGTGATTTAAAAGGGTTTTTCAAAAGATTTGAAATATAATTTCTTATTACGTGAATTTGTCTGATGAGTGTGGACTGAGTACTCTCATAATAACAATTTTAATTATTTTCAATT